CTGTCGTGGAGAAAATCGTGTTCACAGCTTCGTTACTTGCCGCCAGTTTTAAAGAAGTAATATAAAATAAGCAAATAATGTCAACTTTGAAGGGATTATAGGAATTTTGTATTCTGTGCAAGTTTATCAAGAATGCATCCATCGGTAAGACTGAACTATAGCGACCCATTCAAAAGGCAGTAATGATCACCTTGATCAATTAATCAGACCCATTATTTTTCAAATATGATACTTGATGAAGGTTCCTGGGATAGATCTTAGAGGAGATACATAGAGGAGATACAAATAGATGGAAAATAGGAGGTAAGCATATGGTGTGGAGTCGATTAAAAGTTGCGTTTGGCACTTATCAATGATTTGAGTAGACGAAAGCTGAGAACTTCTAGTAGGCGATCAGAGAAATTTATCAATTCAAGTAGCTGCATTAAATCTGCTCATTTTAGACAACTATCTTCGCTACGAAGTGATGGAAAAGCACCATGCAAACGGCAGCTGATGGCGCGTATACTAATGTGAGAACTATTAAGGTTGGCAGGGGAGTTAAAGAGACTGAACATTTGACTCGTGAAAAGTTTCTAAAGACAATAGGACGAGTAACTAAAGAAGCAGATCCAACAAAATATATAAATTGACTCAATGTCTGGTGTAAACACTTGCAAAAATGTGGCGAATACTCAATATGTGTATATTATTAGTTTCGGCTAATTTGGCGACAAAAAGTATTGCTTTTCCGTTTTTAAGAATGAGTTTCATTGGGTTATATTCTGGTTAAGTGTCGTTTAGAGCGAAAATAGAAATTGTATTTCTCCACAAATGAGGCGACACTGAGCCCAGAGGAAGGGCTCGGTAGGACTATAGACTTACCATTGTACAGGTAGCTGAGCCCGCTAAGTACTGACCATTTTATTTCTACCCCACTGCGGATGTCTCTGTATAAGGTTTCGTATTTCATATGATATATTTATTCGTATCTATGTAGGACACACCAGTTTTGCAGGCATGGATAAGTATTATTTACATTACATAAATTTGATTTATGGTGAAATTACATGGTTGTTGTCCTTAAATACACATAATATTTCCTGTATAAGCATTGGCGTGTCCATGTCTTTGCAGCCCATCGGCTGTGATTAGATGACAGTATGTCTACAGTTTCCCAATCACATTATGCTATTCTTAAGTACATCATTTACAAATTTACTTGACATTAATATTAACTCACCCAGACCGATATTTGTGAGAGAAAGTATGAATCGAGTGGCGTCATGGTAGGAGCATATTTGTACTTTAGAAACGGGAGCACTCACGGGCATGTTTGCTTAAAACGAAGCAAATGCTTCTATGTATCCAGTAATCTGCATATCAGTATATCTCTCGGTACTTTTGGAAGGGAGATAAGGAGTGAAGTTTGTTGAACGCCTCCATACCTGAGAAGGACCTGCATCCATTTAGGGGTATTCAAATTGAGAACGGTTAGAATTACATCAAATTTCATAGAGTAATGAAGACTGCAGTTATCTTACCAGCCTTTCATCTACGTAACTCAATGAATCTCTTCCATATTTTTCGGGTTCTAAATTCCAGCGGTAACCCCTGACTCAGGGATGACGTGTCACCCATGTTGGATTGGATTCAGAATTATTTAGATAGCGTTCACTTATGGTTTGATGAATGGAAAATGAAGTTCAGCATTGAGAATTATGTAGCGCCGCGCTTCAAGGACATCTTGCCCGAAATATCTGTCTGCCTACACAACATTCATATTGTCAACTTTCCACTCACAATAGATTTGGGTCTGAAATATCTCCCCCAAAATTTGGCCTCACAGCATATAATGAATTGAAGACATCCCAAGTTAAAATACCCTTTAGTTTTTTAATCTGAAACTTCAAAGCATCTGAATCTAATTTGCCTCTGTACAAGTAATGCCTAAAACCACTACTCAGATTTTGTCCCTCCATCATGGACAGTATCTCAATAAAAGACACGACCAAAATAGAAACCCTACAAAAGCAACTTACTAAAAGATAAGTAGGTGGGAAACTCTGAGTTTCTTACTGTAACAGACGTGACACGTTCCACTTGGAACCTATATGAGCCAGATGACTGAAGTATGACCTTAAATTTAATTTCAGGATAACTAAGGAGTTTATATATTTCTCGTACAATTACTTTACGTTTAGTTCACCTAAGAAATATAACCTCATAAGTAAGTCTTTGGCTTTTAATGTGCCCCGTTGTCATGAAAAATACAGGTCTAATTTCTTCACTGTGAAAAACAGTTGTGTTTGGAACCGTCTTCCAACTGAAATTGGAAATAGTTCTACCTTAAAAATGTTCCCATCCCTACTGAACAAATACTTTTTTCACAGTGGATTAGGAGCAGTCTGTGTCAAATTAAAAATTATATATCTTATACGCCACTCCTCTGATCCTCACTCTTAACTCCTCATCTCTGCTTTCACCATGGTTTGCTTCACAACTCACAGCAATCATCCACGCTCAGTTTTTCTTCAAACCAAATATTTTCTCATATATTTCTGATAGCATTTCATTGTGAGCATTCAGGTGCTTTAAGAGTTCAGTCTCAAGGTCCAGTAATAAATCACCTGAAGATGACTCGGACCAAAATCTCCTCTAGTGATTGTCTAAAGGTGTGCGCAAATCCTTTGACTCGAAAGAGAAGACCCAGCATCTGCGCGAATCCCTGTTCAAAGGGTAGTTGTCTAAACAGTCAACTTAATTGCACAATGAGTCCTAAGTGTTAACGGTTTTTATTTTATTGATCTAATAGTGAGATGAGCCAAGTTCTTTCGGCCATATATTTCAGTGTACTAACTAATGTAATGCCATATATAATTTATATTTATTCCTATCTAATTTATGTTTATATGAAAATATAAATTATTATTATTATCATGAAGGAACACCATTTATACAGGCACTGATAAGTAAAAGTGGAGTGCGTTGGCCTGGAACTGATAATTCTACCGTTGAACCACCGGTGCCCATATATATATGTTACGACGTCAATAACGCCACCTTTTTCATCCATTTCCTATTGCGTTTTCGTCTTCTTTTGGTAATATCTACAGAGTGGAGTATAACTGCCTGATTTCCTTACGTTTTTATATTTTAAAAACTTCAGAGTACGAGGCATACAAGATGGTTTCCTGAAAGTAGTCTTTCATGCTATGAATCCTAATGAGAGTTAACAAGTGAACATAAGGTGAGTCTGCATGACGCCATAAATAAAGCAGAAACATTTCGCCACAACCTTGCACACTGACGAGCGGGAGGACGGTAACTGCCATTCAGCTGGTATGACAGTGGGGACGTAAGAGAACGACTCTCATCTTTGAGGCAGCTCTCTACTTCCACAAAAGAAGCAATTTGAAGGCCACAGCTTAAATACAGACACTGAATGCAAGTGCACACTATGAGCTCACTAATTCAGAAAGGTACTCAGCTTTATATGTCGGGACGGTGGCAGAGATATCATTAAACTTTCACATTTCTTCTACACATTTCCTGCATTCTGGACTTCAAGTTATACTTACAATTTAGAACCTATCCTTCTATCAGATTTGGAGTATAATTACAGTAAAATTGAAGAAACTCAGAGTCACACCCGATTGTCTTTCCACTGGTACGAACACAACAAACGCCACAGTGCGAGCAGCGAGTAACTTCTACACTGCATCAGTCCATCAAACACTTATATCCCGTTCAACGCATTACCATGTGGCAGAAGTCTACCAGAATAAAAGACGGGACCGGTGATCTAAATTGTGCTGAGTTACATCCATGTGAACCCCTTACCTTAATGGCCACACTGAGCTCCATTGCAGAAGTTCAGAATATGCGATCACTTTCTCAAGCCCTAGTTATGTTGCCGAATGGGCGATAGGCACTCAGGCAGACAATGAACCATTCATCGGAACTAGTGTCACACACTTCCGTAGCGGTACACGGCGTTCCGGAGATGGGAAGTGGCACCCTTTGCGAGAAACACATTGTCTATATATAGCAGTGGAGATGGACGTCTATTCAAACGGCTGTCGGGGATTCCGGAGCAATCACTATCTATGAATTACCTCTTCGTGCTGAATGAACATCGATCGCCTTACCGAGGCGGTCGGTTCACGCGCATCAAAGCTGACGACAGAGATCAAAGATAAGTTAAACTACAATTTCTTGTGCTTTGAAGGCAGACTTTGAACCCAGAGGAAGTGGCGAAATGAGATTATGATGCATAGGGGTCAAAGCACTCTTCACAACATTTGGCAGGCCTTATCTAGAATAATGTATACAAGCGAACGGCCTATGCTTCAATAACGAGGCACATATCTTGGAAAGAGTACAGATGGTGGGAACCAAATTAGTCAGCGTTATCTCACACTTTCCTTCAGAGAAGAGGATGGAACATTTGAATCTCTTACCATTACCATACTATAGAAAAGGTGACTTAATTTGGGCATACCGTATATTAAGTCGCATTTTGGATTTCCAACGCTTTCTCTCCCTCTAGAATACCTTTGCGAGGTCGCCAAAAGTAAGGTACTCAAACTACAGACTAGTAAAATACGTGTTGAATTTAGATTCATAGATTGGTCAACTACTGGTACTCCTTACCCGATGAAGTAGTGTCGCCTCCATGGGTGAATGTTTTCGAATAGCAGTTAGATATCTGCAGCAATATACAGTTCCAGGATTAACACAGGCCACAAGGACCCCCAGTCTTTACTATCCGAATCTGAAAAGCAGTAGGATTACCCCTGAAATAGGTGCATGTTAAGTAAATGTGATATTTTCTGAGTGTCACTACTATTAAATTTTGAAGAGATACTATAACATGCTACCTTCTTGGATTACATCAGTCTAAGCCCTTTATAGTGTGTGGTTGTTTTATTGATTCACTTTCACCAAGTTCATGGTCGCAGATAAAATGTGGCTTGTGCGAAAGTAGGAGTTTACCTTCAAATGTTGATTCTTCCTCAATGTCAAACATATGTCCTCGTCTGATAGACTACTTCGTTTTTGTTGGTTCGAGATTGCCAGGAGATGGTTCTTCAGTTTTGTCTCCTGAGATTCTATGTCGTTTTCCTCCAACAGATCATGAAGATTTTCCTCTTCCTGCTGATGTTTCTTTCTTTTGTCAGCCTGAAGGATGTGTAAATTCCACAAGCAGTACATTCCCCATAAAAGCAGTAGATGGTGGATCTTCCCATGGGATAAAATCAATGACATTTTTGTTTTCACTCACTGATAAGGACTCCAGTAAAACACGATATGGGATATGTACGAATTTCTTAAGACCTGTAAGCTTCTATGCTTCAAACAAAGATACATCGTGTGACTCAAAGATTGAGTATCAGCATGGAGCTTCCTTCACAAATGGATCGAGTGGTTTTGGAGACAATCCGAACATCATACGTGCCAGTCCACCTGACAATAGAGCAGAACCGTTGAAGAATGCTAGTAGGAATTACAGCCTAACTTCCATATGTTTAATAACTCACTATCCTTTCGCAACAACATTCACACGTTTGGTGCAGTGTGTCCATACTGTCTTGAAAAAGCTACACAAACTGTCAAAATCATACTGTGTTGGAAGGTAAGTAGTAAAAGTATTATATTTTCGTTACGACATGTATGATGTATGAAGAAATTTAGTGCCCCTGACAGAAATATCAAAAACTTTAGTTTTACTAAACGAGTGTCCGTTTTTTGTGGTAGTTTGGGAATACCGAAATTATCGAAGTAGTATTTATTCACTGTAATTGCTACATTTAGATAGTAACGAATTGAAGTACAAACTCTCTACGTTTGCGTTGCTTTTTTTACTCTGCTGTAATTTTGACCAGGAAATTGAAGTTGTATTCGTATTCTGTGATTTAGGATATATTTCTGGAATACGACACTTGTTTTACGTCGGATACTTTGTTGCTACCTCTTGTCCTGTCTTTTGTCACCTTTCTCCATGGAGACGCTCTTTACGTATGTGAAGACTGCAAATACCAGCTCTCTTACTACCTTATTAAAGAAAAGTAGACCTATTTTTAATGTTCACTTATAAAAAAGTTATCCCTACTTTTCTTTATCAGGTAAAAATATTCGTTATTGTTTTTATCCGAATGCATACGGATAAACCTTGGGTAGGTAAATCTTTTGGGAAATAGTTTAGGTATTGTTTCTACCTCTTCCTTCATGACTAAAGTAATTTTTCTGTAATTATCATTATTTCTTTATTTTGTGGTAGCAATTGTTTATAGACACTGCGTAATATCAGATTACCAATTAAATGAAAATATAAAAAGGCAAGTTGTCTTTGACCATAAATGTTTGTGTTCTGTCTCTCTTACCAAGTAGTATAACATGGTGAATAGGATTGAGGTTAGGCGTAGAGTGATAGCTAAGGAGGGGGTCAGCCGATGCTACGTCGATGCAGATGGCTAGGATACATCCTGAGCCACCGTCTTCCTTACCGAGCAGTGTTAACTGATGTAGGTTTATGTTAAAAAGGGGTTACGAGTGGTCAGGCCAAAACCTGATATCAATCCATGAAGTATTTGATCTTTGATTTTAGTCAAGGGACTGTCTAGTTGGGGTCCTCGGGATTCTAAGAAGCAACGGTCTTAGACTCTTGGTGATATAGGACAGAACCGTTTTCAATAACGCAGTTACATTCACTCTTTGTAATCTCTCATATCCACTAGGTGCTTATGGTTTTTCGATGTTTCTATCCTTTCCCTTGCACATTTCTGCTCTCTTTTGTTCTTTTGAATTCCTTTTTTACCTTCGTGTGTTATATGGAGTGTGGTAACTCGAACTGTTGTACTTCTATGCAGAGTTCTAAGTTGAAAACTCTGTCAGTCAGTAACTCATCAAGTAGTATGTTAATTGTGCTACATTTCGCTACGTCCTACTTTACGACTAAGATGACTGTGTGATGTAAAATATATGGACAGATTAAAGGGATTTAACCATAGATCTCGTTGTTTAATTACTCACGTTAGATAGGACGTGATATTTAATAGGTTCATTTTTAAGTAAGGAGGATAAGTCAACCTATAAGATTTCGGAGATCCATGAGTTGAGATGTCTAGGGTTATGCATTCCGTGTTAAGCGGTGTTACTTAAAGTAGGATTGAAATGGGAAAAATAGTAGGAGTGTTCGCGACAAAACTTGGCAACAATTCACGAGATCTTTAAGTGCTATATTGAGCCACATAAGGAGATACTAACTATCAATATATGAAAATTCCTGATAGCATCGCTTAAATTCGTTTATAGTGAATGGTTCAGGTGTATTCAGTCACTGTTATCTTTTAGGTTTCGGAGTGTCCATCATTCTTTTAATTATTCTTTTTCTTATATATTGTACACATTAGTTCTATTATATATATATTTTTTACTACTTCTTTACTTCTCGTTCAATTCTCGTCAAATTTGCCAAAGCAATATCCTTCAAGCGCCTGAAACCCGATTTATGCGTTCAGAAAGAAGCGGTTATCAGTCTTCCCTTGCCCTGGTAACTGGATGTTTTCACCCTCTCTTTCATCTGATTAAGTAATGTAGAAACTTTCCATTGTGTATGGTCATTAGTGATCGGGATAAAGTGTTTATTATTACATATTATTATTGTATGCGTATATTGATTGGTTTTTGTTTTAAAATGAATTCTGTGCAAGTATTTTAAAATTGCTTCTGTAGATGTACTTAATGATGACTTTGACCTGTAGGCAGCTGATAAGAATCCACCACTTTATTCTGCAAAACTGTTATTCTTGCTTTATTCAAATTCATTAGGGGGAATAAAAGTATGAAGTGTGTATATCTCGCGAATTGGTGGATTCTATCCCAGTGGCTGAATAGTCTATTAGCTCACCTTGTAAACAAGAGGTCCTGGTGTTGAACCAGCGACCCCCCAAGTAGTATAGATGAACATTGGCTTCATCTGCAAGGTGCCGTGCAAAGAGCGACTGTAGCCGCTTGCGGCTAGAAAGAATGCTCCGCCAAAAACCACTGGGTTTCTGCGAGTTCCTTGCAACTCCTGGATGAACGCCCGTCCATTACGGCTGGCAGTGAATACAACAAGCGAAAGGCGCTTACGTGCAAGAGTAGACAGTGTTTACGTAAGGGCTGAGAAGCTTGGTGGTCAAACGTGCGTGTGAGATGGAGTCAGCTGCTGCATCTGGCAACAGTCGGAAGCTGTTCCAACTCATCCGAGCCACCGGCAGCAAGAAACAAGGTGTCAGCGAGACGGTCTGTGAGGCAGATGACATGCCAATTACAAGCCTGAAAAGACGGCTGAAATGCTGGGCAGAGCACTTCGAGAAAGAGTTTAGTTGGCCACCAGCTTCAGTATCTGCTGTCACTAGCTCCAATGCTCCTTGGTCGGTTAATACCGACCCACCAGTTGGTTTTCGACATAGAACTTTGCACATACGTGCGACAGTTCAAGTCGTCACACTCCATGTAGCACACGAAGCAAGAGAAGAAAGTAGGAGAAATGCATAACATAGATAGTAAACAGAGGTGTGAGACAAAGGTATAGTAATAGTGAAGAACAAAACAGTTTAATTGGAAATCATAAGTCACAAAGAGTAGATGCATCTGCGCTAGCCACTGAGAACGATTTTGAGCCATGTCACCAATTGTTTCCAACCATTGGTTCTTACCGTCCCGAGGACCCCAGTCAGGAAGTCTACACCTTCCTACGTGGATTAGACTAACTGTTGTAGATTTCATTCACTGGTGCCATGTTTTGGTTTGACTGCCACTAGCTCTTTTCCAGCCTGACCCTGTGTCAGCTAACATTGCCCATTGTCGAGGAAGGCGATGACTAGGCATACGTAACACATGTCCTAACCATCTCAGTCGATGTAATTTCCCAGCCTCGTCGACTGATTTCCCCTCCTTACCTAGCACTCGACCCACCAACTGATGTGGAGATCCGTAAGGAACTCCAAGTGTTAAAACGTCACAAGGCACCTGGCCCAGACAATCGACTTCCGGCTCTTTTTAAACATGGCAGCGAGACTGTCGTAATGGCTTTAACTGGATTATTCAAGAAGGTATGGGAAACTGAGAGTGTACCATCAATGTGGAACGAAGCCATTATCGTCCCCATCTTTAAAAAGGGTCGACGTAATTCATGTGACAATCATAGGGGTATCAGTCTGCTACCAGTTGCGTCTAAAATATTGGCTGCTGTCTTGCTTCACAGGCTGTGCAAAATACGTGAGGGATTGATTCGCGAAGAGCAGGCTGGGTTTCGTTGAGGTCGTGGATACATTGATCATGTGTTCACCCTTCGTCAGTTGTTGGAACACCGCCACACTTATTGCAGGCCAACAATCGTTATGTTTCTTATTATTAGGGCTGCCTTCGATTCCTTGGACAGAACTATTCTCTGGAACTGTCTGTTAGAGAGGCGTTTTCCTGAAAATTTTGTTAGCGTCTTGAAAGCCCTATACAGAAACACCTCAGATAGAGGGAGGGCATACAACCAACTATCATCATTGTTCCGAACAAACAGTGGGGTTAGACAGGGTTTCCCGATCTCTGAAACAACATTGGCGGGAGCCTGTACCTGCACTCACTCTTGCAGGTGAACCGCTTGAAGTTGTTGATAAGTTTGTGTATCATCTGGGTAGTTGTGTGAGTGCTGGCGGAGGGGTGACGGATGAGATTTCCAACCGTATAATGAAGGCTAGGGTGGCATATATCAACTTGAGCCACCTCTGGCGCCGTCGCGACGTTAGCCTGGCTGTCAAAGGTCGGGTATACAATGCTTCGGTGCGGGTTGTCTTGCTCTACGCCTGTGAAACCTGGCCTCTCCGAGCTGAGGATGTGCGGCGACTCTGCGTGTTCAATCATCGCTGTCTCCGCAGGATTGCTTGCATTCGATGACATCATCGCGTGAGTAATTCTGAGGTTCGGCGGCGTGTGTTTGAACACAGTGGACATCACCATTCCTTGAGTGTCGTCATCTGGAAACACCAGCTCCGGTGGCTCGGACATGTGCTGCTAATGTCATCCCAGAGGCTTCCGTACAGGTCTCTGTTCGCTAGCCCTGGGACGGGATGGAAAAGGCGGAAGGGTGGTCAGTATATGACGTGGCGTCGTGGGATGAAGGATATTTGTGTTAGATTAGCATCGGCTGGTGCGTCACGACTCCCTGGTTGGGGTCCGCGAGATAGCTCGAATCGATGACTCGGAACGTTATCGGATATGGCCAAGAATCGTAATCAATGGCGAATGTGTGGCACTTTCCCTCTTTCTTCCCTTCCTGATGACAGGTGACGAATACTGTTTGAACTTGTTATGCCTGTATGACTGTTTTCCTTCCAGATGAAGTTCTCTATTCGTTCTCTACTTATATTTTTACTTTTAATCTATGTTGTTTTATTATTATTGTGTGGCGCATCTTTCTTGGTGCCATATTGTAGCAAGTTTTTCTGCGTTTAAATAAATAAATAAATAAATAAAATTCCCTAACATTTTAATGAATTTAGTTATTTCCCTTTTTTTTGCCTTTTATCTCACCCAATTATAATTATTTCCATTTTAGTCCAAGCATTTGGGATGTATTAACAAGTAATACAACTTTATCGTGTTCTATTCCTGTTGCGGAAGGTTTACGTCAATTTCAAATGTGGTTACTTCGCCTTCTTAGCGCACCTGCACCAATACCTGGCTGTACATATGTTAATGTAGGTTTAGTGTAAATTTTGAATTTTGTGTGCGAATTTCCCGCGTATAATTCTATAATTTTTTTTGTGTGTATAACCAGAAGGCGAAGGCAATTATAATTTACAGAAAGGATAAAAAAAACCTTAGCAGATACAGAAGTGAAAATGATTTTCTCTCTTTCAATTGACACGATAAAATCGCAAAATCGCAACAGTTTTCAGCAAGACTACTCAGTGATTTGGATATGTCATGCAGTAAGAGAGTATTATTTGCTGGTCGGCATTTTCAACACAATTTGTTGTTCATAATCATATCAGTTGTTACTACGAACAATAACTTGTGTTTGAAACGCCATCCAGTAAATGCTAATACTGTTCCACTTTATACGATTTATCCAGTAAACAGATTAACGTAGATTACATACTACCACAGTATCCAGGAGACACTGCAACTACAATCGGTACGGTTGAAGATGTTAAAGCCAACTTGGTGAAGGGAAAAGCAAGACAGACTTTCACTATTCTAAAGTCAGTGTGGACATCTACGACACTCAGCCTAAGGAGAAAGATCCGATTTTTGAACACTAGTGTTAAGTCAGTTCTTCTTTGTGGTTCACAGACTTGGCGTGTCATGAAAAGCATTTCCAGCTGGTTACTTGGAAATTTCATCATGATCTGAGCTACTTTTGCTGGCTATTGAAGGTCAGATAGCCAACCAGAAAGGATGAGCAGAAAAGAACTCTAATAGGCAGTGAACCAAACAAGAATCAATTACTCAACATGATACAGAGTCTTCTTAACATCTTGATCTGCAATCTGCGAATGTCTGCCATGTGATTTGCTCCCGCCAAATGTAAGATGATGCTACAGGGCTGTCTGAACTACATTGACTCCTAGCTTAGAAATAGGGAGTAAGGTGGTAGAGTGCGTTGAGCATTTCACTTATTTGGGAAGTTGCATCAGCCAATGCCAGCGGGTTGACCGCTGATGAAATCTCAGCACGGATACAGAAGGCCCGCTTCGCGTATGCCAGTTTACACCGTCTCTGGCGTAGAAGTGACATCTGACTGGCTATCGATCAAAGGGCGTGTGTACTGCTCTGCAGTCCGCTCCGTCCCCCTATATGGCTGTGAGACGTGGCCATTGAGAGTGGAAGACATGAAAAGCTCGACTAGCTGTCTTTGATCATAGGTGCCTGCGTTCTCTCTCCCGTGTGAAGTGCTATAATAGAGTGAGTGAGCAATATTGAGGTTGGGCTTCGGTCGAGCGCTAGGTAAGGAGGGGAAACCAATCGATGAGGTTGTGGAGTTACACCAACTGAGATGGTTAGGACATGTATTACGTTTGCCTAGCCATCGATCACCTTGGTCGACGGGAAATGTTAGCTGACATAGGGTCAGACTGGTGGTGGTCAGACCAAAATATAGCTTCATCAGTCAATGAAATCCACAACAGTTAGTTTAAGCCAGCCACTTTCGGGGGTGTAGACTTCTTGTTTGGGGTCCTCGGGATGGTAAGAACCAATGAAGGCTGGAGACAATTGGTGATATGGCTCAAAGTGATCGTTGTCAATGTCTGGCGCAGATGCATCCACTCTTTGTGCCTTATAATACCCAATGAAACTTGTTCTTTGTTATTGCTATTCTTTTTGTCTCATATCTCGATTTACTGTTTCTGTTTTGCATTTCCTTTTTACTTTCTTCTTATACTTTGTGTTCTGAGTAAAGTGTGGTGACTCGAACTGCTGCACATCAGTGTAAAGTTCTATGTTGAAACCAGTCAGTCAGTCAGTTGCCCAACAAATATGTAGAATGATTGGAAGTACGCTGAGGGGACTGTTGAGTAGTAACATCACGAGTCAGGCTTTGAAATGGTGCCGGAATGGAGAGCAACTATCCTAGAGTGACATCGAGGAGGTCGTATGAGAGGAAGATGAAAGCTTATAGGCAATCGTGGTGGTAGCTGAGAAAGAGAAGAGTGAAATGCAAATGTGCTGTTGAAGTCCTATATTCCACTAGGAACCAAAGGGAGGAATATCAACACCAATCTTCAGGTTTTATACGCACTCTTAAACCTCACCTTCTCGACTAGCTGGTGGTAGGTCTGAGATATAGATAGATAGATAGAAAGGGAGATTCGGGGGCTATCAGTCACGTCTCCTGAAAATAACATCGACATCAGCGAAACTTCTAAAAGCGAATTTACAGAAGCACTTCGTACCATTGTGGTAGAAGCTCGATTTGTGCAGTTGTGAAGCTGCAGATAGGGAGATTTAATTGTTGTATGTATTGAACGTTGACTGAACTATGAAGGCTTCATTAGATATTCTATTCATCTATGCATGTTGATTTTTAAGACTTATTGTATCCTTCATTATGGATAAGATTTTATTTGGATAAAATCACACAGTGCCTGTTGTACAGTAATATTTACTGATGACGACGTTTCGAGAACAAATTATTGCTACTCATAATCATATCAAGGCATTACTCACACAACTTTCTTGCTTCCTTTAATATACATGACTAAACATTGGTTAGACAGAGTTTAAATTCTAAAAAGTAATGTAGATAGATTGAGAGAGAGATTTATTACTGAATCCCGCCTGGTTCATCGTGTCTACACCCAACACATGAAATAGAAGTGACTCAACGCAAATGCCAGAGATATGGAAGATATTACTACCACCAGTCAGATCAGAGGATAATAAATAATGTTGAAATATATTCAATTCACATAACATCCTAACAAGTTATTTATTTATTTTACTATGAAAACATCTTATTTTCCATCTTATTGTGCGTCGCTGGCACAGTGGTTAGGACGTTCGCCGACCATGCACATGGTTCGGGGTTCGATCGCCGGCCACAGACGCACTCCTTTACCTCGCCAAACCAGTAATAAAAAGCTGGTAAAGAGGAAAGGTTGGCCATGAGGCTAGCAACCTCATCCTGTGAAAGTAAAACACTGCTACAGAAACTTCAAGCCTCTAGCTTGAAGCCCTATGTGCCACTGGGAACGTGAAGGAAAAGAAAGAAAATAATACTCCCGATTGCACTTCATCTTTTATTGATTTTATTCAAATGTCTGATCATCATCAATTTCTACTCATGTATATAAATGAAGCAAGAAAGTTGTGTGAGTAATGCCTCGATATGATTATGAGGAGCAGTTATAATTTGTGCTCGAAACATGGTCATCAGTTAATATTACTGTATAACAGACACTGTGTGATTTTATCAAAATAAAATCTTATCCATAATGGAGTTATACTCTACCACAGTGCCTAAGTTTTATATTTATATCATTGTATATACATTTTGTCTTTATTCAGCTTTCTATTCAGCCGAATGATTCAGGAACACCTCCATGTTTTGCTCTCCCTGATCAATCACGTCTTCCATTAGTTGATTTTCCTGTAAATTTACCATTTGAAATTATGGGTATTAGAAAAACTCTTCGCTTGATTATATGCTTACTTTTGGAACAAAAGGTGAGTTCACGCTACTACTTAAATTCAACTAAAATGTTTATGAATAAAGCAAGAACAAACAGAGGTTTGTGCAGAATAAGACAGTACCATCATTTATCTCCTTGGCTTCTAATCATCAGCTTGACTTACAGCCTAAAGATACCATTATTAAGTTTATGTACAGAAACATACTTACTCAGAGAGTCCAAGTTTAAACAAAACAAATCAATTCATTTGAATTTTAGATTTTCCCGTCGATGGATTGGACCGAAGTGCTCGGTCTCAGGTTGACATGTCGGCTTCTTGTGCAGATGCTTCGACCATGTCTGGGCATTTAATTAGTATTTAATTGGTGACTAGCAGTGGAATCCAGGATGCGCATTTCGGTGGGAACATCATCACTCACTGAGAAATGCAGGTACATCCAGATGACGAGTCCCAAATAGGACGAAATGCGCATCCTGGATTCCACTGCTAGTCACCATCCACCAATTAAAAACAAATCAATGTATGCATACAATGGTAATAATAATAATACTAACTTTATTCCAAACAACATCAGTGATCATACAGAATGGAATTTTCAGCATTGAAGATTCCGTAATCAAGTGAAGGATGTTGAAAAACAACGGTTACCCCCAAAGAGTTTCATTAACAAGTACGGGAGATAGGAAGACCCAAATGTCAAACAAATCACAGTGGAAAAAAACGCCTATCTTCATTCAACTCGATTTTAAATGTGATAAATATTGCAGGAATAGTCAACGGAAGATTGAATACGTCACTAAATACGGCCTATCATGCAGCTAAGTTGGTTCCCGTTCACCGGACAACATGCTCTTCCTTGGTACAATCAAAAGTCAGCAGATATCCTTTTTCTAATGGTTAACTCCAACTGTGTATACAAATTAACATGTATCTGTGGGAGCAGTTACATTGGAAGAACAGAAAGAAGGCCACACCTCTGATTTTCTCGACATGCACCGAAAAGTTTACGTTTCAAGGGAAGAAACGCTTTTAATGGTGTCATTGATAGGCATCTCCTTGATACGAGCGATGAGATGGGAATCGCGAGATCCTTCAAAATTATCAACAGACAAAAGAGTTCAATTCTCCTCAAGTTTGCCGAAGAAATCTCCATGAAACGCCTGAAACCCACTTGATGTGTTGAGAAAGAAGCAGTTATCAGTATTTCGTTGCCCTGGTAACCGCATGTATTTATTCTCTCTCTCTCATTTGATTACATAAACTTCAATGCTGAAATTTCCATTCTGTATGATTATCAATGTTGTTTGGACTAAAGTTAGTGTTATTATTGTTATCATTACCACTGTATGCATGCATTGATTTGTTTTGTTTAAACTTGAACTCTCTGAGTGAGTATGTGTAAAACTGCTTCTGTACATAAACTTAATAATGATATCTTTAGGTTGTAAGCCGAACTGATGATTAGAAGCCAAGGAAATAAATGATGGTACTGTCTTATTCTGCACAAACCTCTGTTTTGTTTTGCTTTATTCAAATTTATAAAGGGAAATATGTCTATAAAATGTCTATGTTTTAATGGTAATTTAGCTTTCAGTATTTTTTTTCAAAGCTTTTTTAAGAAAACATGTTCTGTGTGCATTTTTCACATTCACTAATTATTATTAATATTATTTACTGTCCCGATCGCTACTACTATGAATATGGTAGTAGGGTTTGCATATCGTTCGTATAGACCCAAGGGGGGGGGGGTTAAGTATCAAGAGATTTGACTAGTTCTGGTAGCCTTAATCATCCAGAGATAGTATTGAGCTAAAGAGCAGAAGACTAGCGCTATTCTTTTGCAATCCTAATAGATATTTGTGTGTGTGTTTTGTTCAACTGAATGGATCCAGTTCAACTAACCCCCCCCCCCCCCAACACACAATATAGAAAGATCACTAATACTCTCTGATGCCTTTATATAATCTCTCTGTGCTTATGCATCAACTGACTGTGTAGGTGCAGTCATATGAAGTGAAGACTGGGTATTTTTTAAAAATCAGAAGTTGTTTAAGTTTGTTATGTTAAAAGGCAAAACGATCTTACTTCGTGATTTTAATGCCAAACTAGGGGGACTGAAACACATATACATATCTATAATCCAGTGAAACAAATTCAGTGTTGTAGAAATTTCAATTTCAAGGATCAGTTGTGTGATGAAATTGACTTATTTTCAGCTGGAGACCACTTCATTCCTTATAATGTTTTGGTATTAGCAGTGACAATAAAGTCAGATAATAATTGGTTGGAGGATTTCATCATGAGCTGACATCAGTTACAGAACCATTGGAAAACCAGCAGGGAGTATTGGACAGCTGTTTCGTCAGCCTAGCTTGTGACTCTTCAGCAGTACACACCCACCACCAGGGTCTGAACCCAGGACCTACTGGTTACAAGGCCAGCTAGCTTGTAGATCATTAAGCCCCTGGGACCCGATCCGATGGTCAGCCCATGAATTCTAACTTCTGCCAATTTATGAAACAGCGCGACCACTTGGCAATGTCTTCTTGGATGAGTTACTGCCTCACCTTGGTGGGTGCGTACTGATGAAGAGTCCCAAACCAGGATGAAACAGCTATCCAGTACTCCCTACTGGTTTTCCAATGGTTCTCTAACTGATGTTAGCTCATGATGAAATCCTCCAACCAATCAAACAAAATTAATTGGTGGATGATGACTAGCAGTGGAATCCAGGATGCGCATTTCGTCCTATTTGGGACTCGTCACTGGATGTACCTGAGATCGAGCACTTCGGTCCAATCAGTCGACGGGAAAATCTAAAATTCAATTAAATTAATATGACCCGTTGCACAAGAGGTGGCTCTCGTGGCCCAAGTGGTCTAGTGAATAACGCCTTGACGTTGGAAACTGGGAACTGGGTTCGAGCCTCGTTGGGAACATCATCACTCACTGGGAAATGCAGGTACATCCAGATGACGAGTCCCAAATAAGACGAAATTGGCGTCCTGGATCCCATTGCTAGTCATCATCCACCAATTAACTTCTAATTACGTACCTGGGCATTGTCGAAGCATCTGCACAAGCAGCCGACATGTCAACCTGAGACCGAGCACTTCGGTCCAATCAATCGACGGGAAAATCTAAAATTCAATTAAATCAAACAAAATGCCTACAAAAACCAATACTTGGAAAATGATAATAATGTTAATGGCTAAAATAAAAGAGGCGATTAATTTTTTCAATAATATATTAAGTTGTCTGTATCTCGCTTAATATTATCTCCATCACATAGGACGCGGGCTAAATATAGTATTGTTGAGTTTCTGTACTTGGTTGTACAAGCATATACTCTTTTGTAATGATTTATAACTGCCTGGTTAAAAGTAGGATTGTTTATGCCGGTTAGTTGTTGGTATACTCTGTGGCTTCAAATATTACCTTATTATTATTATCAGTGACTTGTCTTCCAAGTGGAATATAGAGTCTCAGCGGCACTGTGCTGTATTGCATTCGGTTCTATGCTATCACTTCTAACTGATTCCACAACTCTCCATAAGCTTTCATTTCCCCCTTCAAATTATCCTGCTTTTATTTACCTTTGGACGCCCAATTCGTTACTCGCCTTCCACTTGACGGTCTGGCAGATAATGGGGGGGGGGGATAGGCTGTTTATTGATTCACTGCTTGTCAAAGTTCCTTGTCGCATTAGCCTATTCTTTCTAACCAATCGGTCATCTGATGTTCAGTATCGAACCAAAGAAGACAACTGTGAATACAAGTTGATAGTAGCCTGTTAGGAATGCAACGGTTGACGCGTTCCCTAGACTATGATTTAAAGATTTTGAGTTTTCAGGGAACAAAGACAAGGGTATCTCTCTCTTCTTCCTTCACGTTCCCAGTGGAACATAGGGCTTCAAGCTAGAGGCTTGAAGTTTCTGTAGCAGTGGTGTTTATTTTTACAGGATGGGGTTGCTGGCCTCATGCTGCCCAACCTTTCCTCTTTACCAGCTTTATATCTGGCTTAGCGAGGTAAAGGAGTGCGTCGGTGGCCGTGTGCATGGTTGGCGAGCCATATATATATAGTAAATAAAGTGATGTAATTGTTGGTCGTCTGAACATGAAATTCATTCTGTGAAGGTTATGTCTCTTATACACATATTTACTGATTATCTTTTTGCAGGAATGTGTACTAAACACATAATACTTTTTGTACATTAACTTGGTCCCTCTATTATTATTATTGTACAATATAGGTGGTTTTACAATCATCGGATTATAATAAATTGTCGTTGACAATTTTGGCACTCGTTGCACTCTTATATCCACTTCAATACATGTTTCCAGTTATTCCATTGTTACCTGCATGTATGCCAGATGCTGAACAGGTGAGTGTTAAGTTGGTTTCGCTTCTCTTCTCTTTTTTTCGTTGTTTTTGTTTGTTCGTTCTTCTATTCTCTTTTGTTACAATAACTGTTTAAGTGTGTTATTTAGATCAGGTTGATATGTATACACTTGCCTTTTTGTTAGTTAGATTATCTGAGCGATAATCAGAGTTTACCAGTGAAAGGTGATAATTAAGGTATATATTTATGATTGGTTGTTACTCACCACATATATATCTGAATCTCATTTTATACCAGTTGTTAGGTGGATAAAACTGAGCAGGTAACAGTTTAATATTAACCTTATTATCTCCACTTACACACAGGATGCAAGTAGACTTTTCGAGGACATCAACTCAATGGTTTTATTATTATTATTCTCTCGGGTTCCGAGTGGAACGTAGGGCTTCACCAGTACATCTCCACTTTATCCTATTCTCTGCGGTCCCCTTCAGTCGGCTCAACGAATGCCCATAGGCTCTCATCTCCTCTTCACGTGACCTTCTCCATATCACCCTCGAAGTGACACCTAACGCGTCGTTTTCAGCTCAGGTTCCACTCGAGCGATGGTCGCCTCAGCATGCGTCCGATCTATCTCCATTTTCTTTTACATTTTTTCTAAAGAATGGATATTGAACAAAGAATACTCTTTTCGATGACTTCATCATCAGGCTCTACAGTTATATATACACTATAATGAATGAATTAGTGTTATGAGCAACATTAATGTTTAAATAACATCGAGTCAATAATAATAATATCAATGGATTACAGTTTGATAGCATCAACATAACAATACACTGAATGTCAGAAAAATTAGGAAAAATAACAATGTAATTACATGAATTTGTGGTCTCCACTGAAGGCTGGCCAGGGCAGTAGTAGGGGCTGGCTGGACTTGCTTCTTTTGAACACAAAGCAGTGGTTGTTTCACGCGAATTGCAATAGCCTCTGCTGTTTGGAGCATGCGGTTCTTCGATGATTTTGGCAATTTATTAGGCACCCAGTAGATGATAGCGAAGGATTCTTCAACGCTGGCTTTGTGGCTGGTTTGGACCAGGTGGTTTAATATCGAACTGTTGATGGTTTTCGCTACACCTTTACTTATCCATAATAGGAGATGTTCTCGAGCATGAAAAATCAAGTTCGTAGAGCAACGGCCAATATAGCTCACTCCACAAGTGCAGTTGAATTGGTAGATACGCTTAAAAGTGGCTAGTCTAGGTACTTCATCTTTCAGTCGAGGAATCGCCATCGGTCGTTTAGAGAATAAGAAGTGTAGTCCTCCAGCACTAAAAGTTCTTTGAACTGATTTTCTTAATTTCTCCGTAATTATCTCACTTGGTATATCGCCCTTGAATTGTAGTCGTATATAAAGTGGCTTCTTGTTTACAGATAGTGAGTAATCCTTTTCCGCTTTCTTTGTCATGTGTTTCTTGATAAATTTGTCGGGATAGCTATTTTCAATCAAGGTTTCATATACAATGCTTAGTTCATCTTCAATTACTTCTTCTGAGCATATAGCTGTAACTCTGTGGCTGAGGGTCTTTACTAAATTTCTTTTGTACTTGAGAGGAACAAAGCTGTGAAAATGTGTGTATATTGTCCTGTCCATGTACTTTTTCTATGCAAATTTCTCTTTATGCTACCATCTGGTTTTCTTGTAAGGAGGACATCCAGGAGGGCAATTAATTCTGTGTTGGGATTCCTCTTGGCACGTGAATTTCATAGCCGAATGTACTTCATATTACATATTTTACATATTTGTTGAGCAAGAGGTTCTTGGTTGGTTCGTTCTCAGAGTTTCTTGTTTCTAATTCTTCCTGGCCAGCGAAGGCATCTGTTGATAAAAGTCTGCAGTCAGCTGTTGGGAATGCTCCACGTGATGTGCAGTGCAAGTTTCTGACCTATGTAGAAGAACTGACAGAGGATTGGTATTGAAAACTGAGATGTTGTTCTTTATGCTGAGGAGTGCAGAAGATTTCCAAACCGATTATTTTAGGGCGATGAAAGTCTGTCTCGCCTTTCCGATTCTGGTTTTGACATCCTCATCCGTACTGACGCCTAATAGTTGAAACGATGCCGCCTGGTCAGAAATGTGAAGGAATTGACCTCTCTCAAATTTCTGCCTTTTATAATGATAGGTGCTTGTTGTTATTATTGTTGTTGTTGGCTGGTTATCCCCTCACCTCCGTCTTTTCTATATTCACTTGAAGCCCTGTCTTATCTGCCAGCCTCTTCTGCCAGTTTGTTGGTTTTTTGCTTTTTGACCTTCGAGTTCGTGTGACATGAGGAATAAATAGTCCTCGAAGTTCAGATCTTCTAGAGTCTTCTTATCTGTCCGACGTATTCCTGTCTTCTCGCTGCCCACAGTCTTCCACATAATCCAGTCCATCACAATTAGGAATATCATCAATACTTACTTTACTTTACTTCGGCTATCTCCTACGGGAGGATGAGCCGGCTTCATGAACATCTCGAATCATCGCTGCCCAGGCGCGGCTATCTGATGAAGAGAGTTCATGAAGTTTCATGGGAATTCGGTACGAGTGATGTCCCCAGAATCGCTCGGCCTTTTGTTTGAGAGTGCAGCTCTAGCCTTTACACAACCAAGTGTGACCTACAAGGCAGTAGGAGTGGAGTAGGGAGTCCACTATCCATTGGCAGCCGGTGACCGGAGTTCAGTTCATACGCCTTTTTGAATGGGGCCAGACATCCAGGACATCCAACAAGCCCTTTGTCCATACGTCTGCCGGTGAGCTCCAGTAAGCTTCATACGCCAGTCGTTGGAGGTTTGGAATCAGGGTTTAGCCATCTCCCCTAGACTGTCATCCAATGGACAGTTAACCCGGTGAAGAGCGCTGGGCATCCGCTTTCGCCCTCTCACTTTGGTGAAAAACACCTCCACCACGTGAAGGCAGTGAGTAGGACTTCCTCAGGAGAGGCTATGTAAGACGCCCGGTCATATGGGAGCATTTCAAGAGGTGTGCGGAGGGGTGGCCAACCCGCAGAGCAAGGCACTCACTCCCGACCATCCTGAGGCTATCATCAATGATAGTAGACAGTCAATTGGAAAGGCAGGGCAGACATTCATCTCTCTCAAATGAGTGTGGTAGTCATCTGAACTCATCACAAAGAAGAAGATCTCAACAAATATGCAGAAGAAAATGGAGATGAATCAGACACACTCCGAGGGGACCTTTGAGTGACATCGCGCGCCAGGCAGTTGGTCGAGTGGAATCTGAATAGGAAACAATGCGTTGGGTGTCGCTTCGAGGGTGACATGGAGGAGATCGTGTGAAGAGGAGATGAGAGACTATGGGCGATTGTGGAGCCAGGTAAAGAGGGCCACAGAGAACAAGAGAAAGTGGGGATATGCTGTTCAAGCCCCTATGTTCCATATGTTTCACTCGGAACCGAAGGGCACAAGAAGAATAATAGTTGGCTAGTAAACAAGGAGAGGTTCTTAAAAGCGAACCTCTCTCGTGCTAGGCGAGCATTTTGGCAGTGAACTGCCATCAACGTGCAGAACTGAAATATATTTTCAATGTATAATTGGTTCACTGGCTTGCCTACGTGTTTGCATATCATCTCATCACGCTGTTAATGTGTAGCTTTTTGTTTTGAAATATTCTAACTAACTTCATTGGTTAACTGATAATCTACTTTTATTTCCATTTTTCTGTGTTATTTATTTATTTTTTTCAAAACCGTCGTCGTATTTAGCTCCTCCTGGCGCCTACTCCTTATCTGATTGGTGTACCAACAGCTTTCTATACTGCAAGGAAGATATTTCGTATGCCAAAAGATGTCTGGCTAGCTGATTTGGATACTTGTGAAGTGTGTGTTTAGTTGTTTTCTTTATTTCCTGTCATTGTTATTTTGTTTTGAGTTAGGATTTTATGATTACTTTGTTGTATGTCTCTTGCATAAATGCCTGGAGCTGTATGCTACTTGGTCAAATAGGAGTGATATGGAAACCGGACGGCCGTTTCATTCCTTTTTAGGTCGATCTTATTATCGGTGTATCCGATTTGACTCTGCTCAGACAGTGGAATCACAGTTGAAACCATCTAATTTCCGACTAGTTACTCGCGCGAACTGGCTATACCATAAACTGAATTCAGTATCCAAAAGAAACTAGTAAAGTTTGACTCCAAACTGTGTAAATTTCAGATTTGATTTATGTCTCCTACAGGTCATTATTTTTTTCTATTAATCAAAGTATTATTATCAAATTAGATCACGAGAACCATTGATAACTGGGGAGTACTGTACAACTGTCTTGTCCCTAATTTGTAACTCTTCAAAGCTATTCATCCTTGAATTCACCGCTGATGGAGGTCAGAACCTTCAGGTTATGTGAGATGTCCGTTGACCTGTAGTTCTAGTGAGAAATTTTGACCGAATAGGGAGAAACGCTGACTGGCGGTTACGCTATACACTGCAAACTCTCAGAAGTTAGAATTCATGACCCATTGGATTCCGTCCAAGTCGTTGAATGCTTAGTAAGATGGCCTCTTAACGTAAAGGTCGAGGGCTCGATCCCCTGTGGATTGATGGGTGCGTACTTCTGAAGAGTCCCAAACTAGGACGAAAAACAGCGGTCCAGAAGTCCCTAGTGGTTTTCAAAGGTTCTCTAACCGTCGTCAATTCGTCATCTGACTTGAAATCTTATTGTAATCTTCCGATGCACTGGTTTTTTGTGACATAATAGTTAGCCATAAAATGACTGACATTTGGAAGCAAGAAAATTTGCTCATTCACAAAGTCGAATAATATGCCCATTTCACTTACCATTTTGTTTTAGCATAACATTGATTTTCTTGACAGGTGTACTTAAAATTAAAATGTTCATTTCATCTTACCTACCCATTGGAACGTATTACTGACTAACTTTAAAAGCACTGATACAAAAGGCTCGTGTAGTATTCCCCAACTCACATCATCTCTAGCATTGACATGATATCCGGCTATCGATCGAAAGATGTGTGCATCGCACAGCACTTCGCTCCGTTCTTCTTTATACCTATGAAACAAGACCATTGAAAGTGGAAGACCTGAAAGAGTTAGTTGTCTTCGACCACTGATATTTGCGTTGTATCTCATGTGTTGAGGTGGTGTAATATGGTGAGTAACTTTAACATTAGGCATAGGGCAGTTGCGTAAGGAAGAAAAACCAATCAATGAGGTTGTGAAACCACATCGATTGAGATGGTTAAGACACATATTATGCATGATGAGAAATCGCCTCCCTCGACGAGCAATGTTGGTTGACATAGGGTTGGATTGGAAAACTGTTAGGTGTGGTGAAATTAAAACATAGTGTCAATCCATGAAATCTTTGACTGTCAGTCTGAACTGGCCACGGGGGGGGATGGAGACATACTGATTGGGGACTTCGGGATGCTAGAACAGTGGCTGGAGATTACTTGTGGTAAAGTTCAAAATTGTCCTCAGGTCTGTCTTGTGTTTTCAATTTTGACTGGCTTTGAAATCCTCATCTGTGCTGCCTGTATGTAGTTGAAACGATGCTGTTCATATAAGTGAAATAGGCGAATTTCTTTAGATTTCTCCCGTTGACATTTTCCAGTGCTTCTTGTTCTTGCTTAGATATCTTCATTATCACCGCTTTCCTCATGTTCACTTGAAGTCCTGTCTTTGTTGAACACTTCAACTTATTGATATCAATAATGTTGGGGCATGTGATACTGACAACATCTGTCAGTAGTATATAGACGCAGATTAATAAGAAGTAGCCAAAATTGAAAAAAACACATTTTAAATCAATTGCTACAGAAGTAGAAGTGTGTATTCCTCAAATCTAGATCTAGCCTACGTCGCGGTCAGGAAATAATCTCATTGGATAACTTTTCGTCCTATGAATCAACCTTCAGAAAATCAACAACCAATAAGAACAATCTATTTATTACCCTCTGACCCAATCACATTTAAGGTCAGTTAGTTCAGTGGATAATAAACTGTTCTGATTGGTTGTAATTCGACATTAGAAAAGTCTGTTTGATTTGACAACCAGTAATGCAGTATTAGTAACTGGATGACATTTCGAGCACAGTTTATCTCTCATTATCATATCATAAACTGATATGACATCAATTTTTAATCGAAACAGCTTTGAGATAAAGTAATATTTCTCAGTTTGACACTAATATTGTTATTGACTACTAATCTAGAATATTCTATGTATATATATTATTATACTATTATTATTGTTTCCTTTAATTCCTAGAGGAACATAGGGCTTCAGCCGTGCGTCTCCATTGCGTTCGGTTCTCTGCTAGAGTCTTCACCTGGCTCCAAGTCTGCCCACACGTTTTCATCTCCTCTTCACATGACCTCCTCCAAGTCACCCTTGCACTGACGACCAACTCACCGCTTTTCTTTCGGGTTCCACTCGAGCAATGGCTAGTCTGGTGATGTCACTAGATGGTTTCCTCAGAGTATGGCCAGCCAATCCATCTCCATTTCTTCCTGCCTATTTGTTTCACCATCGGTTCCTGCTGGTTGGTTCGTTCATTGCCAGAGATCCTTATTGCTGATCTTTTCTGGCCGATCACCTGATCTTGAGTAGTATTGAGCGAAGACAACTGTTAATGAAGGTCTGTAGTTTGTCTGAGGTGTTCTTTATGACGTGCCAAGTCTCTGATTCGTATAGCAAGCAGCACTGACTTCACATTGGAGTTGAAAGTCCGGATCTTATTTTTCATGATGAGTTCTGTTGAGCTCCTCAACACAGACTTGAGAGTAGTGAAAGCTTGTCTTGCTTTTATGATTCTTGCTTTGATATCCCCGTCAGTTCCGCCTGTAGTTGAAACGATGCTTCCCAGGTCGGTTGGTGAAGGAGGTTGTTTCTTTCAGGTTCCTCCCATTTATGCCTATCGTTGTCTGTTGTTGTTGTTCTTGTCCAGGAATCTTCATCACTTCTGTTTCCTCTATGTTCACCTGAAGTCCTATCTTTGATGCTTCTTCTGCCAACTTGTTGCTTTTCACTTGCATATCTTCCAGTTTGTGGGAAATCAGACATATATCATCGGCGAAGTCCAGATCCTCCAAGGTTTTTGTGTGGGTCCATTTTATGCCTGTTTCCTCGCTGCCCGCCGCTGTCTGTCACATTATCCAATCTACTGCAATCAGGAAAATCATTGGCGATAGTAGGCAGCCTTATATATATATATACATATATATATATATAATTGTAGAGACAGAAGAGGAATTTATCGAAAAGGATATTCTTTGCTCAATTATTTTGTGTTTTATAGATGTCTGAATGAATATTTTTACTATAAATTAAAACATAAATTAAATGAAAGAAATTTACAATCCAATTTCACTAAATAGCGTTACTTAGAAGATGAAGTTACTCTGCAAAAAATAAAATAAAACGATGTAACTGCGCATTGAACTATTTCAAACACAATCTGATCACACATACATTTACTTGTCAACTCAATCTATATGAAAATAATAATAAGAGGCTAATTAAAATAAAACAAATATATATTGCGCATATACATTGTCATTATTTCGCAGACGAACTGCGTCTTTTAATAAGGCTCTTTAAAAGTTTATTGAGGAGATTGTTTTAAATATTTATTTAAATATTATTAAACAATCAAATAAACTCTTTAGCAGTACGCACCCATCTCCCCACTACTAGGGATCGAAGCCAGGAGCTACTGGTTACAAAGCGAGTGAAATATCCTTGTTACTCACTATATTACACCCCCTCAACACATGAGATACAACGCAAATATCAGTGGTCGAAGACAACTAATTCCTTAAGGTCTTCCACTTTCAATGGTCTTGTTTCATAGGTATAAAGAAGAACGGAGCGAAGTGCTGTGCGATGCACACATCTTTCGATCGATAGCCGGATATCATGTCAATGCTAGTGATGATGTGAGTTGGGGAATACTACACGAGCCTTTTGTATCGGTCATTAGAATACAATAAGACCTTAAATCCGATGACGAATCGACTGACTACAGTTAGCGAACCTTTGAAAACCAGTAGAGACTTCTGGACGGCTGTTTTTCGTCTTATATTGGGACTTCTTAGCAGTACTCACCCATGACCTGAATGAGGGTCGAACCCAAAACGTCCAAGTTACCAGGCCAGCTCATTGACTAGTCAACCACTTGAACGGAGTCCAATGACTCATGAATTCTTTTAAGGTACCGGTTGTTCTGGCGATATTTTGTACTCTATCAGCCTTATTAAATACAGTGTGTCTAATTAACCATATAATCAGTATGCTACTTGACCTGCAAGTACTGATGATGAAACACAAATCCAAAAGACTCAGCTATTTAGAAATATGCTGTAATGAGCAATATATTTTAGTAATATAAAATATTAAGATTATTTAAGAAAAATATTTTAGTAATTATCTCGATAGTATAGCAGAACTACGGACCCTGAGAATGTGTGTTGCAGGCACGAAAGAGGAGCGTAAATTGGCGCTGTAGCCTGACTGGATGCGTGCCCGTTAGGACAAAACTTAATACACCTATGTATAAATGGTGTATTCGAAGTCTTTTTGTGCGATATTAAAAAAATCCTCTGTGTGTGTTAGGGGTGGATGTCTAATGTCCAGAGTTGAGGATAAAACCGTCGGTATTCTGCTTCTGCCCTCCGACTAGCCAGGTTGAACAGTATTTCAAAATACGTTTACGGAGCTTGCACTGTGTTCAGCCGATACACTTTGCTCCATAGGAACAAGTCAACTGGTAAATGCACACATTGAAGTGTTCTTAAAGCAGTTTCTTGTCCTTAACACCATGACTGGATTAACTGTTTGCTGGAGAAGAATTTGATTCATAAGATGGTTACCTGCAATGCCTTCTTCTGACATTTCTGTTGCTCAATCTCCACATAGTCATTCCCTTCTAGATTACACCTTACATTACGTAACACATTTTCTAGGCAAATAATCACAAATTAGTTCAATAAGACAAATAATAAATCTTTCCAAATAATTAAATATATATATTTTATATATTCTTAATCCTTTGTTTATTCTAAAGCTGTCCTATCCTATGGTTGTCGATGAAATCCCAGAATTACCTGAAATAGAAAGTAACATACTTGTCAGTCATCTAAGAAAGGTAAGTACTAATATTTCCTCTGTGTGTGTATATATTGTGTGTGTTTGTTTATTTTCTCTGTAGACCTTTCTGATTATCGAAAAATGTTTCTAAGGGCTAGTTTGCAGGGATTTGATTTGTTTCAAGTTTGATCACAGATTATTATCAGTTAGAGGTCCATTGAAAACCAGCTACTGAGTACTGGACAGCTGTTTTGTCCTAGTTTCGGACTCATCGGCAGTACGCACCAAGTTGAGCTCGTAGACCATTCAGCCACTGGGAACCGACTCAATGGCCAGCAAATGATTTTTAACGTTTACCAATTCGGACAATTACTATATGCAGACGATATAGTCCTTCTAGGCGAGGACGCTGACAAAATACAGCAGAGTCTTCTGAATACCTTGAGCTGCAATCTACGAATGTTTGGCATGCGATTCGTTCCCACCAAATGCAAGATGATGTCACAGGATTGGACTACACCGACTCCTTGATTAGAAATAGGAAGTGAAGTGGTAGAGCACGTTGACCGCTTCACTTACTTGGGAAGTACCATCAGCCAGTGCCAACGGGTTGATCTCTGACGAAATCTCAGCACGAATACAGAGGGCTAGTTTCGCATATGCCAGTTTACACTGCCTCTGGCGTAGACGTGACACCCCGCTGGCTATGGATCAAAGGGCGTGTGTACTGCTAATCAGTCCGCTCCGTCCTGCTTTATGGCTGCGGGACCTGGCCATTGAGAGTGGAAGACTTGAAAAGATTAGCTGTCTTTGATCATAGGTGTCTGCGTTCTATCTCCCTTGTGAAGTGGTATAATAGGGTGAGTGAGCAATATTGAGGTTGGGCTTCGGTCGAGTGCTAGTTAAGGAGGCGGAATCAATAGACGAGGCTGTGAAATTACATCGACTGAGATGGTTATGACCCCTGTTACGTATGCCTAGTCATCGCCTTCCTTGACAATGGGCAGTATTAGCTGACATAGGGTCAGGCTGGAAAAGAGCTAGCGGCGGTCAAACGAAAACATGGCACCAGTCAATGAAATCCACAACAGTTAGTCTAAGCCAACCACGTAGGAAGGTGTAGACTTCCTGACTGGTTGGGGTCCTCGGGACGGTAAAAACCAATGGTTGGAAACAATTGGTGACATGGCTCAAAATCGTTCTCAATGGCTGGCGCAGATGCATCCACTCCTTGTGACTTATGATTTCCAATGAAACTGTTTTGTTCTCCGTTATTACTATTCCTTTGTCTCACACCTCTGTTTACTGACTATATTATGCATTTCTCCTACTTTCTTCTCTTGCTTTGTGTGGTACATGGAGTGTGGCAACTTGAACTGCCGCACATATGTGCAAAGTTCGATGTCGAAAACCGACCGACCGACCGAGTGGGTTTTGAAGCATTTTATAGAGATTTATTCAGCAAACATGAGGAGAATTGAACCCTTTTGTCTATTGATAATTTTGAAGGATCTTGCGACGTCCACCTCATGACCGGTATCAAGAAATGCCTGACAATGGCACCATTAAAAGCGTTTCTTCTCTTGAAACGTAAGCTTTTCGGTACGTGTCGAGAAAATCAGAGGTGTGACCTTCTTTCTGTTCTTCCAATGTAACTGCTCCCACAGATACATGTTAATTTGTATACACAGTTAGAGTTAACCATTAGAAGAAGGATATCTGCTGACTTTTGACTGTACCAAAGAAGAGCATGTTGTCCGGTGGACGGGAACCAACTTAGCTGGAGGATAAGCTGTGTTTAGTGACGTATTCAATCTTCTGTTGATTATTCCTTCAATGTTGTCACCTTCCCGCTGTAATTTGTTTGACATTTGAGTCTTCATATCTTCCGTATTTGTTAATGAAACTATTTGGGGGCAACCGCTGATTTTCAACACCCTTCATTTGATTACGTAATCTTCAATGCTGAAATTTCCATTCTGTATGATCACTGCTGTTGTTTGGAATAAAGTTGGTATTATTATTAATATTATTACTATTGTATGCATACATCGATTTGTTTTGCTTAAACTTGGACTCCTTGACTATGTTTCCGTACGTAAACTTAATAATGATATCTTTAGGTTGTAAGCCTAACTATTACTATTCCTTTGTCTCACACCTCTGTTTACTGTCTTTATTATGCATTTCTCCTACTTTCTTCTCTTGCTTTGCGTGCTACATGGAGTGTGGCCACTTGAACTGCCGGACATGTGTGCAAAGTTCTATGTCGAAAACAGACAGACAGACAAACAGTTACTCGCCAGTGATAACATCGATTAGTGGTCGTGCTAAAATGACAAATTGGTAGAAATTGGAATTCATGGGCCGACCATTGAAATGGGTAGGTCCCAGTGGGTGAATAGTCTGCGAGCCTACTTGGGTTTGAGCCCTGGCAGTAGTTTTGTACTGCCTGTGAGTGCGAAACTAGGTCGCAACACGTGTCCAGTACTCTCTCTAACTGATATCGATCTCAGGTCAAACTTTAAATAAATCAAATCCCTAGAAATCGATTCTTGAAGACAAATGCTAAACGAAACATTAAAGCAAAATTTGATAATGTTGGAACGAAACTAGTCTTCTTAAAGCTTAGGTTAGAAGATTCCATTATGGGTAAATTTTATTTTGATAGAGCCTCACAGTGTTATACAGTAATATCTACTGATGACGTTTCGAGCACAATTTATTGCTCATAATCATATCAAGGTAATCACACGACCTCCTAAATTCATTTATATAGTTCCATTGCTTTTCACTTGATTTGACTGGTAGTAATATTTTCCATATTTCGGGTATAAGTGATGATTCATTCCTATTGCATGTGTTGGGTGTAGATTCGATGAACAAGGATTCAGTAATCAACCTCTCTCTCCGCCTACCTAGATTACTTTTTAGAATTTTAACCCTCTCCCACCCTATTGTGTGGTTGTGTGTTAATGCATGCATTGCAATTGCTGAGCTTTTTTCTAAATTACTTATCTTCTCTGGGTCAACCATTCTTACCTTAGCTAAATTCTTATGTTCTGACAATCTGACTACCCCTGACCTACTAGTTTGACCTATGTAGTTGACCTAACTCACAGTCATTGCAGGGTATTTTGTAAATTATATTACTTTGTCTTATTGGGTCCACTGGGTCCTTTAACCTACAGAGCTTGTCCCTGAGTGAGTTTGTAGGTTTAAATGCCACCCTAATTCCTGCTTTATTTAGAATCCTACGTAGTGTCTCAGATGTCCCCTCTTTATATGGTATAACAGTGGATGACTTAAATTCTCTTTTATTTATATTATTATTACTAGTTTCACAATTCTTTTTATTTTTCTTTTGGCGTCTTTCAATCTTCCTAATGAACTTTAGAGGATAGTTATTTAGAACCAACGCCTCTACTATCTGTTTTATTTCATCATTTAGGTCTTTTTTTGTGCTACTTAGTGCCATTGCTCGGTTTGTTAAACACTTAACTAAGCCTGCCTTAACAGTTAAAGGATGAGATGAATTAAAGTCTAAATATCTATTAGAATGCGTTGGTTTTCTATAAACACTAGTGTGTAGTTTGCCTTCTTCTATTCGTTAGATTAGAAGATGATCAGGTATCTGGAAGAATTTAACATAGAATAAATGCTGCTCATAAGTGAACTTATCCATGTATCAAGATAGTTACAATTAATCGAATACAATGCTCACTGAGGCAATCTAAGGTTGAGTAGTCTCCCGTTCTTGTTACCTCTAACTGCATGTACCAGTTTACATGTATGTGGCAAAGCATATATATATTGGATGAATAGAAAGGAGGATTTGTGATCGCATATCTGAGCCAGTTTCCCTTTATCACCTGTGTCTGAGATAGTCACCATTAAACGGTCAAAACCGAACTTATTTATGCTGAAACTGGACTTGGCTGATATCCTTTCGCCGGTATATACCCCTCTCCGTGGATCGAACCAATTATTAAAGAATTCATGAGTCAGTGCATTGTTTTCCAACTAATCCTATATCTCACTTTTTGAGGAAGCCAGTACCTCTGAGTGCGTAACACACGTCCTAGCCTTCTTGATCAATGGAACTTCCCCCTGAAAGTACTCCCTTCATCACGCATCGCGGAGATGTTCCTAAAAAAAGTTAAAGGGTGAATATGAACATCTGGTGCTTACAAACGGACTGGTGGATATGCAAGTCTTCCTAGGGGAGCCGGAAAACCCTGACTGAAAAGCTGTAGTGTACATCGGCTGTAGAATCCGAACGAATTGAATGGAGTATGAATCTGTTTCGGTCACCGCCAACCGTGGTAACGTATCTCCTAATTATGCTTAGATTTCAACTCAAAGGCTCGGGGATTGGTCCCTTAAGAAAACTATCTGCTTCAGTCTGGGCGGTATCCTAGCCGTCGCACCATCTCTTGGTGTTCATAATATACCAAGTTTGTGTTTTTGTAATAATAATAATAATACCCCAGGTGTGTACACCACTATCTGTTGACTGCTTTCAAAATACGCATGATATCAAATATTTATTCGCTTAATATATATTTAAAAAAATTCATTTTCGATTTGTTTTCAGTTACTTCATGAGTTTTCAAGCTCACCGATAATCGATTTAGACTTAGATGAATCATCTAAGCAATGGTCTCATTCATCAGCACGTACAGGCGCCTTAGAATTATCGAAATTTGATCCGTTACTGTATACGCTTACAAGAGATTCTGTTGGTGTTGCTATACGTGTGTCAATGGTGAGTGTTCGTGCATTGTGCTGTTGGTTTGCTATTTTTTTGTTGGTGTTATAAAATAGGTTTATTCAATAGTAACTTCTTTGGGGATGAATATCTCCGGTATGAATATGGTTATATTATTATCTAAGTAGTGCGTCGGTGGCATAGCGGTTAGGACGCTCGCCGACCATGCACATGGTCCGGGATTCGATCCCCGGCCACGGACGCACTCCTTTATCTCGCTAACCCAGAAATAATGCTGGTGAAGAGGAAAGGTTGGGCATGAGGCTAGCAACCCCATCCTGTAAATTAAACACTGCTACAGAAACTTCAGGCCTCTAGCTTGAAGCCCTATGTTCCACTGGGGGACGTGAAGGAAAAAAGATTATCTAATTAAGGCTGATTAGTATTATTATTATTACTGTTCCCCTGGATTCCGAATGGAATAGCACGTCTCCATTTTGTTCTGTTCTCTGTGGTCGGTCATCTTTAGCCCATGAGCCTTCATCTCCTCACGCGATCCCCTCTTTGTCACCCTCGAAATGACGCCCCACTCGAATGATGGCCTAGCGCACGATGTCATTCGACGGTCTCTTCAGCATGTGCCCAATCAATCTCCATTTTCTGCTGCATATTTGTTGAAAACGTGTGGGCAGACTTGGAGCCAGGTGAAGACTCTAGCAGAGAACCAAACGCAATGAAGACGCACGGCTGAAGCCCTATGTTCCTCTAGGAATTAAAGGAAACAATAATAATAATTTGTTGAAGATTTCTTAATCCTTTCAGTTACATATCGGGAAAATTACTTAACTCTTTGATCTAATATTCACTCAGGATTCGAAAATGACCGACTTACTTAGTTTCAGCATAGGACTTTGCACAGAAGTGAGTGAGTGAGTGCACCAGTTCAAGTTGCCATACTCAATTTAGCACACAAAAAAGTGTAGAGAAAAGAGTGAATAAAAAGTCAGGGAGAAGAGAAATTGACAAAAAAAACTACAGCGGACAGAAATGTACAGTAAATACGAGTTGTAACATTTAAAAGTTATTGGATATTGGAAGCATTTATTTCCCAATACGAATTTAAAACAATCAACAAAGGTTTTATAAAGACAGGATATAATCACTTCATCAATTTTTCGGTGGGACTCTTCAGCTGAATACTCTACATGCAGGGATATATTTTTTTTTACGAGTGGATCACGGATTGATATCAGCTAGAGAACCATTGAAAACCAGCACTGTAGTACTGGATATCTGTTTCATCCTAGTCTGGGAATCATTGGCAGTACGCACTCACTTGGGGTTCGAACTCAGGACCTTCCAGTTACAAGGCAAGCTCGTATACCATTCAGCCACTGGGACCCGATTCATTGGCCAGCCCATGAATTCTAACTTCTACCAGTCCGTGATTTAGCGCGACTTCAACTCGTAAAAACAAAACTAATCCTTACACACCAATTATAGAAAAAAAATATATTGTCAGAAATGCATTTGGAGATAATAAATAAAGTACATTGATTTATTAAGGCAAAACGACAGATGCGAATATTTTTCAGGTCATGTTCAAATAGATAAAAGGAAGGGAGTATTATTATTATTGTTCCTTTGAGTTCCCAGTGGAACATAGGGCTTCAACTGCACGCCTCCACTTGCTTCTGTCTTCTGCTGTACTTTTCACTTGCATCCATGTTAGTCCATACTGTTTCAGCTCCTCTTCACACGATCTCCTCCATGTCACCCTTGGACGTCCCACTCGCCGCTTCCCTTTCAGGTTCCACTCGAGCGTTGGCCTGACGCGCGATTTCACCCAACGGCCTCCTCAGTGAGTGTCCAATCCATCTCCACTTTCTCCTGCATATTTGTTGAGCGATTGGTTCTTGTTTTGTTTGTTCCCATAGTTTCTTGTTGGTTCTTGTTCTTTCCGGCCATCTAATCTTCAGTATAGAACGAAGACAGTTGTTGTTGATAAAGGCCTGCAACAGGCTGTTGGAAATATTCTCGGTGACCCGCCGCCAAGTTTCTGATCCATCCGTATAGAAGAACTGACTGACTTGACGTTTGTATTGAAAATCCGAATCATTTTGTTGTTGATGCTGAGTGACGAAGATTTCCAGATTGGTTTCAGGTTGATGAGTGTGTTTCTCGCCTTCCCGATTCTCGCTCGATTTGACATCCTCGTCCGTTCCACCTGCCTGTAGTTGAGACAATGCTCCCTAGATAAGTGAATGAAGTAACCTCTTTCAAATGCCTACCGTTGATGGTGATTGGCGCTGGATGTTGCTGCGCCAAGGGAGTATGGGAGATTAAAATTAAGATAAAATAAATTACGGTTCAATTACATCACTTAAATAGACAATCAGAGAAAGAACTTAAATATATCAAGAATTACGAACTGAGTAATATTAATAGTAATAGCTATAGTAATAATAATAATAATAATAATAATAATAATAATAATGTTAAAACTGGTTAAGATAATGCTACTAATAAAAGATAGATCTAAGTGAATCAGGAATAATAATAAGAGGTAGAATAAATTATTAATAATATTATTAATAATAAATAAAAACAGTTAATAAGTAAAACATATTACCATGGTAGATTTAGAGTGACGACCATTTCTTTTTGTATACAGAGACCTAGTTTATAAACTCTAATTGCACAAGCCTTCACAGTCGCAAATATCTTCCTGTTTGTTTGTCTGCTCGCTGAAAACAGTGAATGACTTGACAGTGCATCAATATCCTATCTGTAGTAGTCGACAAGATGCTTTGTTATTGAACTTCTTGGTACTTTGAATTCAGATGTTTTCAACTATTTTGGCAAATACTCCACCGTGCTAGTAGACAATCGGCTTTCTGTACGACCTGTGTTTTTGCTTCCACAAACACACTGAAATTGATATAGGGAGTTTGAAGTCTCGAGGATTGGAAACTGGTCTTTCCCAGATTGTTGAAGCATCCGCTTAGTGATGTTAAGGAAGACGGGTTTCGCAGCATAATAAATTCTCTTGATAGCTTTATCAAGTTTTCATTTGACTACTTCTTGTACATCGTCTCCTTTGAATGGCAAATTGATATATACAGATTTCTTTGGAACTGTTTGGATAGTTTTACAAGGGCTCATTTCTTTAGAATATTTATTGATGAACTTCTCAGGATATCCATTCTTAGATAAAATATCCTTCAGAGTCTTTATTTCATGTTCAATTGTACTGTCAGAACAAATTTTCCGTGCTCTATAGAACAGTGTTCTGACTGAGTTGTTTTAAATTGGAGTGGAACAAGACTTTTCAAATGTATGTGCTGTTCTGTCCATGAAGACTTACTAAATATAGACCTTTCGACTTCACCATTAGTCCTTTTGACTAGAGAAATATCTAGGAATTTAATGGTATCATTTTCCTCGTTTTCTGTTGTGAACTTGACATTCGGATGGCAGGAGCTTTTGATCTGCTCTCACAGACAATAAAAATATCATCAACATATCTTAGGTATAATTGCGTTTGTTGTATATTCCGTTTCAAGAAAGCGGCTTCTAGGTCTGACAAAAATATTGGTTCTTGGTGTCTTGAGGACTCCAACCAGGCAGTCTGCAACCCATCCCCTCTACGTGATTGCTTCAAACCAGCAATCAAAGGCTTTATGGATTGAACGAAATATTCCCATATTGAGTCGTAAGAAAAAGATGTAAACAGCGAAGAAAATTTTCTTTTCTACGATTCATTTTCATGAGATAATAAAAGAAAAGCAAAATTATAGTAAGAACTTTACTCTGGCCACGCGGTAGGGCGAGTGAATGTATGTAGCGCTTATGAATGCAGAGGTCCGGTTTCAGATCCCGAATAGCTAATGCTTCAGCTATGTACAGATGGCGTATGCGAAGTCCCTTTGTACGATATTGAGAGACTCTGTGAAGCATTCAAGTCCGGGGTGTGTGCTTGATGTCCAGAGATGACAAGGTGTTTGAGGATGGAGCTGCTATTGTTCTTCTTTTCTCCTCTGGCTGGCTAACTAAGCTGTATGATGTTCCAGAATACGTTTGTGAACTTGACATGCGTACTCCGATATACCGGATTTTCGTTTGACCAGCCCGAACTCTTTTCCAAACTAATCCTTTGTCAAGACAGACGTACTAAGGCCTAATCTCTGCTACATTCGATAATAAACCATAGCCAATGCGTCAATTGGAATGCATTGGTTTTAGAAGGGGGATGTGAAATCAATACGACTAGTGGCAGGCAAATAAAACATTACGTAACCAACTGGGAATTTTGATAAGATCATGTTGCAAAACAAAATTATATTGAATTAAATAAAAATAAATAAATAAGCACTGACGAGTGGGATAGTAATACCGAAAATTGTTTAAAAGGAAAGTAATTACAATATTAATGAAAATAATACAGGACGGATATATAAATTAAATAAACAAAATGAAAAATAAATAAGGCCGAAATAGGAGTGGGAATTAACATACTTTAGTATAGGTAGATTGTGACCATGAGAGTAGAAGCATTGGTTGAGGGAAACGTTTTCGGTTTATAAAACTTTTGCTTTTGTATATTTCTATGACCAAGGCTTTAGCAATACCGATGAGTCAGATACGTAATAATAGAGAAGATTTTTAGCTCAGGTGGATGATTTTCCTTGCTTTGTGTTCCCTGAGCTGGTTGATTTATTTGCTTAGCTTCTATTGTCCCCTTCTAGATAACATATTCAGCGCTAGTTTCACTGTGAAATTAACTTATTTGAATTCTCCATGAATGGTGACATAATTGTGTCTCCTGGCAATCACTGTCGTGACTGGTTGTTAATCTACATTTCTATTGATCATTTTTATTGACTGACATGGAATTCGAATTTTCTTGTCATGTGATTTACTTTTCACCAGCTGGTAAAATTGGTCTGTAGTAATGTGTTTGTTGAGCACCAGGCTTCTAGAAATTCCCTGACTGCACTTTTGGTGTTTCCTCTTTTTAAAATTTCTATATTCTCCCAATCAAATTGGTGTCCGTAATTGTCTGCATTCATCGATATGAAAGAATACTTAGCCTATATTTTCACATCTAATTTATTTTCTTGGATTCTGATTCGAAGGGGATATCTACTTTGAGCAAATGTAGTGTTCATCACGGTTTATGCAATTTATTGTGTAAATAGTATTGATCTTCATACATTTATTCCCCTTCATGGATTTGAATAAAGCAAGAACAGACAGAGGTTTGTGCAGAATAAGATAGTATCATTATTTATTTCCTCGGCTTCTCATCAGCTAGGCTTACAGCTTAAACATACCATTACTAAGTCTAATTGTACGGCCTATGTAACTGGCTGTGTAGGAGCAGTCAGGAAGATCGATGGATACACATGGGAGAGACAAAATTAAGTAGTTTATCTTGAAATAAAATATAATCATACTAAGTTGTTAACAAGCCAAGGTGCTAGTCTGGTTTCAATTTCGGTTTTTTCCCCTCAGTTTCACTCATCAATATTTTTTGTGCGTTTTTCTCCCCTTCTTTTCTTTTTGCTAGATTCTATTCTTTAATACAAGCAATGTTCTAGGCGAATTTACCAATCATATACGTACTTTACGATTATTTCCACGTCCAGTGGTTGCATTTCAATATGAAAGTTTTATGAAATCTCGTCCAAAACCGTGTTTATTCACTAGTATGCTGGCAAAAACTCAGGTATGTTTATTTTATCTATATATACATATATATTATATACTTTGCTCCATTATAAGTGTACATGTGAGTGTTTAGTATGTTGCACATAGACTGTAGTTCGTACAATTTTATTCGTTTAGCTTGCTAAATAATTTTATTAGAAGAGCCTTGTGTACTTATGGGAAACTCTGTGTATGTGTGTGTGTGTGGGGGCGGTTCCTACTTTCTGACTGCCCACACCATGAAAGTTGATTTCTTCTTGATGTATCTGAAACTGAAGGAGCACTACTAGGTTTTGTGACCACCGAGTCCAGAAGACAATTGCCTGAGGCCGGTCATAAATGGCTTGTTTGATGAAGTGGTTTTCAGAGTTTTGTCTATATTAAAATCTTACTGACACTGCGAGGTTAGTTAGGATGTATGATTTTCGGGGTTGACCTCCTCTTACCCTCCTCCTGAGTCCCAAGAGTAAAGAGGTCACTTAGGTACCTGGCTTACTGATCATCTGAGAGAATCACCTTACTTCTGTTACATACCTATTCGACGATACTACGACTTCGCTCACAGACAACAAACATAGAGTAAACCAATTACACTGCGATGGTAACTGCTTGTAGTCTAAACGCTGTCAGGAACATTAGTTCCAGCAGGTGTAGCTCGTTGGATCATTACGATATGCAAGCCTGACTACCACCGTCATGTCAAAGTAGCAGCTATCTGTCTGACAGCCTAAATGTATGCTTTGCACGCATAGGAAATGACCAACTTGTTTCACACATGTTTTTTGAAGATTTCTATTTGTTTGACTAGCTTTCATTTGATCTCAGGCGTAAGGCTTTTCTTTTCCATCCGCCATACTTAGAACTAATTTTTGTCTAGAAGGAAATTATATTACATATATATATGCCTCGGGGTTAATTTCGCTCTCCTTTCGTTCAAATAAATAATATTGATTTTCTGCATATCCGTCATCCTTTCATAAGTATTTAAACAGGCGCATGATACTAGAATATGTGCGAAAGTTAGAATACAGAATCTTTTTTACGAGCGTATGCGATTTAGCTGATTGGTTCAATCACCCGGCTTCCAGCCTTTAGGCCGTAGGTTCGAGTCCCGCACCCCTATGCTTCAGCCTAAACAGCTGGGTAGTATCTGTAACTCTCGCATAATAAGTGTGGCTCATAGCCAGGGAATTTCTAGAAGGTCGGATACTCAGACGATGAATCAGCGATCAACAGACACATTGTTGTAGATCAAATTTATCAACTAGGGAAAAAGAATATGCCATAAGATATAATAGTAATAATAATAATAATTTTGCTTTATTCCAGAAACAGTACTAGTGGTACAGTGTGGAATTTTCAGCACATATCTACAATATTGCATCTAATTTTATCAAACATTTAAAAGGAGTATTTCAAAAAATAAATATATAGACAACAACAGCAAAAACAAAAGATAATAAAAAAATGCGAAAAAATACCAAGAAGTAGAAAGGAAAATAAACAACATAATAAATAATATCTCAGTATTGGGTAGTGGAAGCTATGATATGTTTATGCGTGGTGACAGTAAAGCTATAGTCATACAAGAAGTTATGAAATGATATTTAAGAATGTTTATCGCCAAGATGATCAGTTAATTTGATTGAACAACACTAAACAATCATAAAATAGCATTTCAGGGTTTTTATTGTCAGCTCTAATGCGGTGTTTGTAGTGGTAGTGTGAGTAATCCTGCATAATACAAAATTTTAAGATGGTGATAATGATGTTCACAACCAAGATTGTCAGTTAATATTGCCGAACAAAAAACAACCACAAAACTAATATTACATGATGGTTAATGACAGGACAATTTTGTAATACTCATAGTGCTAATATAGTCGGAACCAGTAGATACACAAAAGAAGGAATAGAATAAAGTACAAAACAGTAAGCCAATGTTAATAATTTAGGTAGCTAAGTATGTTTAAGAAGGTGTTCACTATAGAATCCAAATAAGAGAGAAATAAAAGAGCCTAAAATTATATTATTAACAACAAAGCAAGTCATAGGTTTCGCGCTTAACATTGTCTCTGTCACTTAGAACACGGGCCAAATATGGTATCGTTGAGTTCCTGTACTTGGTTGTACGAGCATATATTATTTTATACTGATTTCTGGTTCTACCTGATGAGATACAAGGAGAGAGTTGGGAATAGAGGGGGTGTTGGGGGTCGGAGAGTATGGCTTTAGACCATTTTTCGCATGTATTCAGATGCCTTTCAACTAATGTAGTGACGAGCTGACTGAGTTTTACACCACTAGTCCTACTAACTACCTTCAACATCCTTCTCAGGATGGTATAGTCCTTTTTCAGTAGCCCAGGAAAGACTAACGGGGAGCAGTAAAGTAGAATAGGTAAGATACGAGAGTTGACAAATTGTGAAAGTAGAGGTTGGGTGATTCCAGATAGTCTAAGTTTCTTAATGTAGTAGGTTAGACGGAACACTTTCTTAGAAATCGTTAAGATATGAGATGACCAAGTAAGGTCGGAAGATAGAAACTAGACCGAGGTAAATAAGAAGGGCCAAATTAACAATCACTCAGAAGAAAGATTGTCAGGAGATATACAATTTTTGTCATTCACATGGAGAATTCAACTAGGTTCACACTTCATATTGAAGTATTCGCGCTGAAGCAATGTAGTCTAGGTGAAGGAAAATCAAAGCTTGAAATTAAAACAGTCATCCAGCTCAGAAAATAAAACCATGTCAAAATCATCCATCTGAGACACAAATCCTTTCTATTGCATGAAATATGTTTTCCGAGTAAAAATTATATTTGTAAAATCTCAGAGAAATTGAAATATGAGTAATTCCAACGTTTACTGCGTTCGGCAAACTGGTCCGAAATTCTTCAGGGAAATTAATTGAAATTAACATCACAAAGGTTTATGTATAAAAACAGTTGTAAACAGTTGTAAAACATTCGTTAGCCTCTCCATAAGAAGTTATGGACAATCGGGAATTTAGACCAAGTATGATTAATTAGTGATACATATCCATTTATTTATTAATCAAGATTTGCCATGCATCAGCTAACATCACACCTTCACGTCTGTTCAAACTGTTGGGATCACCCATATAGGCTTCCGCAGTCAGTCTTTCTTTATACGAATCAAAACCTTTCTGTAGAACCTTAGTCCTATCAAAATCGATCTTGTGTCCTGTTTCTATGGAGTGCAGTGCAATCGCTGATCTGTTTTCTAGCTTCTTTAATTCTACAGAGGTCTTTGGAACCACCTTTAGACATTGTTTATGCTCTTTCATCTTATATTTACCTGTCTGGAAGTTTCTTCTACATATAGAGCGTTACAATCCCCACAGTTGATCTGGTACACACATTCTGTTGGTTGTCTTCTTCTATTTTATCCTTAACCTTCACCAGTGATGAGCGTAAGGTGTTAGTTGCACGAAAATACGCTCTTATGTCATGATTGTTAAGGATTCGCTTTATCTCACCGCATACACACATATATTTTCATATTCAGTTATCGACGACCATGGACTTTTAGTGGGACGTAATCACTAAAATTCTGATGAAAAGTATACTCTGTTTAAAGTATTTAACAAAAGTAGACTAATATTTGTAAGTCTGAGGTCAAATTTTGATCACAGCTCATACAATTTTCTTTATTATATTTTGATGACTGTTTCATGACTTATATGATTGGAAAAAGGTTTTAAAAACAAGAGATGTCCTTTTTATATATAAACCTCTGTTATGATAATTTCGATTAATTTCCCTGAAAATTGGACCAGTTTGCCGAACACAATAAACGTTGGAATTACTCATTTCAATTTCTCTGAAATTTTACAAATATAATTTTTACAAATGTCTTCTTCTCACTCGGTGTCCAATAATTTTTTGGAACTATTCAGTCAATCGTGGTCACAGTTCATGTGAATTGTTTTCCGAGTAGTTGAGTCCTAACTAACAAAAGCATTATATAATGGATGGTTCTTTGACAACAGATGTTGGCGTCCCATCTCCTGTGTTAAGTGGTATATACTTTGGTGAGTAATGTTGAGGTCAGGCGTAGAGTTTTACGTAAGGACGGTAAAGGTGAGTTTATCGATGAGGTTGTGGAGATGAATCGACTGAGTTGGCTAGGATGCGTGTTGTGCATCCCGAACTACCGCCTTCTGCAACGAGCAATATGAGCAGATATAGGATTAGGTTGGAGGAAATGAGTTAGGGATGTTCAAACCAAAACATGACATCAGTCCATAAAGTTATTGACTGTTGGTTCGAGTCATGTGGTTGGGGTCCTTGGGATTGTAAGAACCAATGGTTGTAGACTACTGGGGCTATGGCTCAGAATCGTTCTTGATGACATTGATGCACTCACTCTTTTCAATCTCTCATATCTACTAAACCCTCATGTTTAGTTACCATGTTACCATTCTTTCTTCCGTCACATATCTGCTCATTATAGTTCTTTGGAATCATTGTTTTTCTGTACCTCTTTGTGCCAGAGGGAATATGAAACTCAATGATGAAGGGTTTCCATTTACTACCACATAAGGATGTCTTTTTGTTTTACTGTTGTACTATGAAAGTGACTGACCATATATATGATTGTGAAACTGATTTCATTTAGTTTTCTCCAGTTAAAGTATGTAGAACATATAGTCGATTATACTATCTAAAGACACATAGCCTCACTTTAGCTGACTGCGATGTGATGGAGTGAAGCGGTGATCAAGAACACATAATTCAGCATGGCTGTCAAAAGGAGGACACAGAACAATCAAATAGCTCAATTCTAGAGCATATTTTTTACTTCTGGTCACCCAGAATTAGTAGAGACTTCATTCACAGTCATATCTGAAGTACAATTAAGTTGTTCAAAAAGATTTTGCCCACATTTTCTTCATGCAGGGAGAGCATTAGCAATCCATACGGAGAACTCCGGGACTTTGTGTCCAGAGACGTTTTATCCAACCTTTTTTTACTACTACCGTGACCTTTTCAATCCTTTGTTCCATTGTTCCTTCAGAATTATTTCCAAATGATTATTCACCTTCTTGATTACGTAATACTATTCACTTTTTTCACACATCGAAGTCAATTGGTGGATGATGACTGACAGTGGAGTCCAGGATGCACATTTCGTCCTATTTAGGACTCCTCATCAGCTGAATATACCTGCATATTTCCCAGTGAGTGATGATGTTCCCACGGATGCTCGAACCCAGTGCCCGTAGTTTCAAACGCCAAAGCGTTATCCACTAGACCACTTTGGCCACGAGAGCCACCTATTGTGCAACGGGTCTTATTAATTGTTTAATTCAACTTAGATTTTCCCGTCGGTTGATTGGACCGAAGTGCTCGGTCTCAGGTTGACATGTTGACTCTTGTGGATAACGCTTTGGCGTTTGAAACTACGGGTACTGGTTTCGAGCCTCGGTGGGAACACCATCATTGAGTCACTGGGGAATGCAGGTACATCTAGGTGACGACTAGTCCCAAATAGGTTGAAACGCGCATCCTGAATTCCACTGCCAGACATCATCCACCAATTGACTTCAAGTTACATGACCAGACATCGTTGAAGCATCTGCACAAGGAGCCGACATGTCAACCTGAGACCGAGCACTTCGGTCCAATCAATCGACGGGAAACTCTAAATTGAACTAAATAATTTTTCACACATACTGTTACTTATTTTGTTACTCTAACTGACAATAATCTCTAACCTTTGTTGTCAGCTTCGAAGTGAAGTTATGAAAAGGAGAGAGATCTCTGTTCGCCGAATGATGTGTTTTTAATTCACTTCACATGGGAATTTTTCATACCTCGAAGTAGCAATTGGGGTCCCCGTATTCTGCCAATTAGCACTATTTGACATTAATTTTGTTAAATATGCTGACGACCTGACTGTATCTTTACCTGTCAAATGTCAAAGTGACTGCTCTAAATTTAATGGCTTTCTGTCAGAAATCAGCCAGTGGTCCAAGGAAAACGGTCTAACCTTAAATCCCTCTAAATGCCAAACAGTCAATTTCACCTTTAGGCATAAATCTGACTTAAACGAACTGGTTAGCACTCACGAGGTGTGCAACATAGATGGCACTGAAATAGAAACCAAGTCGGAAATTAAATACCTAGGCGTCATTCTATCTGCTGATCTTTCCTGGTCGTCTCATACCTTGGCGATTTCTAAGAAAATATTCCGTCTTACCTTCTACATCAAGAAGTTAAGACATTCTGGTATAACCCAACCCTTATTCCTACGATTCGTTAACTCTTGCATCCTGCCTATTATTCTCTATTGTTCCCCTTTAGTTTTTCCCGGGCTACTGAAGAAGGACTATATCTTATTACGTAGGGTGTTAAAGGTTGTCAGTAGAGTAAGCAACGTGCCACTTAACCAGCTTGTTAGTATTCTGGTTGACAGGCACTTGGACTCATGTGAAAAATGGGCCAAATCCATTTTATCTAACTCACACTACCCTCTTCATTCACAACTCTCTCCTTGTATCTCATCAGGCAGAACCAGAAGCCTATATAGAAAACTACATGCTCTCACTAGCAAGTACAAAAACTCAACCATACCCTACTTAGTTCATGTTCTGTGCGATAAAGAAAGCATTAGGCGTGACACCTATAACTTATTAAATAGTCAGTAGAACAACTGGATCTCGTCTTTCCAACTCCTATCATTTATAGGTACAACCGTTTTCTTTCTTTGTTTTCCTTTTCTCTTTTTTGTTGTTGTTATGTGCTACTTGGTTTCTCTCTTCCTTACGAACTCTGCTTAAAGCATTCTTCTTCGTTCTTTCACACTCTGTATATCTCGACGGTTTTGTAACCGCTTACGCCAGTAAATATGCTGGCATATACTTTTCTAACACCTTCAAACATTCTGTTCAATTTTGGCTCTGCTAACGACATGCCAATATGTTGTTGTGAAAACTAATTGAGATTACCCTTAATCTATGTAGAATTTTATTTACTGGTAATTTACTAACTGGATGCAATACTGTAGTAAAATGCTGAGAATTCCATTCTGTATGACAAGTACTGTTTTGGAATGAAGCAAATTATTATTATTATTATTTCATTATTCCAATTTCTACCAATTTTTTTGGTGTTTTATTTTTAGGCTGTTGAATATTTCGCTGAGTCATCTGTTTCTGCACAGAATGAAGCCTATCAACGGATCAGTTCAGGAGTGTATTCAGCTGAATTAATCGGTGATAAATTCTATTGGTATAAAAATCAGCTGAAACCTGTATATTTTAATTGTTGGGATAAATTGCTGGACAATTCAAGTACAATGGAGGATACACCAACACTGAGGAATTCCACACCGAATCCACATCAGTGTTTATTATTACTTCAAGCTTTTGAGACAGCGAAATTCACTTTTCACAGACAATATTCTGAGGATGTTAGTATGGAGAATACTTCAACACAACATCAGCAACAACAGCTACGACTGCTACGGATTCGTCTAATGAATCCAGTATGGATTATTTTAGCGGTAAGTTTAATCATTGTACGACTTTTATTATTATTGTTCCCTTGGGTTCCTAGTGGAACATAGGGCTTCAACTGCACGCCTCCACTTGCTTCTGTTTTCTGCTGTATTTTTCACTTGCATCTATGTTAATCCATACTGTTTCAACTCCTCTTCACACGATCTCCTCCATGTCACCCTTACACCGACGTCCCACTCGCCGCTTCCCTTTCGGGTTCCACTCGAGCTATGGCCTGACGCGCGATGTCACCCAACGGCCTCCTCAGCGAGTAATATTTATTTCATCACTATAAACTCGGGATGTAAACTCACTTTGATTGGACGCTAGTAACTAGTGTGACGTGTCTAATGCCTTCTTTGGTGCAGACTGAATTCTCTTAGTCAGGTTTGCAATGTGGTCAGCATTCTAGGTAGCTCGCCATCACGGTGAACATTGATTTGATGATATTAGATGGTTGGAGGCAATCGGCCACAGGAAGCCTTGGACTTAGGTTTCGTGCTACTTGGCACTCACCAGTCAGCAAGGCGTATCTGCAACCTTGAAGGAACTCATGTCCTTTCTGAGATTCGAACCCGCATCACCCAGTGCTACCTGAAGTTAGAGACGTTACCACTGAGCTATTTGGTGATTGGCGATTGACCTCCTGTAGGACTGTAGTGGATACTTTGATTGGACACTAGTAACTAGTAACTTAATTGACTTCGGCAATTCAGGGAATAGTCTTGTCGATTTGTAATATATGCGGATGGTATTTGATATGATCTCGTCGACAGTGTTGATATGACCGAGTGGAATTATACGTGGTTATAACAATAACACTGATTCAATGGACAACTCAACCGATATGCTAGATATGCCTATTCGCGATTTAGTACCTTGCGCTTCACTGAGTCACGTAAACTGGCCTGTGACTGTTAGGATGTCGCCTTTATTATAAAAAAAGGCACATCATATACATATATATATTTCTAACCACATTGAAATTTAGCTAGGTCAGTGGGAAGTGGATTGTTTTGATTGGTTGGTGAAAAGATGATGAAATTTTACAGTGAGGCCAAGGTCATCCGATCACAAGATGAATTCTGCAACCACTGATTTAAAATATTGATTACTGTTTTAGTTGCTTTCTGTCAGTATTGTCCTTCTAAGTGAAGATCCTGAGAAAATGCAGAGTCTTCTTAATATCTTGAGCAGAAATCTTAGTATGTTTGGCGTGAAATTCACGCTTTGTGTAATATGTAAGATGCCAGCACGGATACAATAGGCTAGCGTGGCATTTGCCGAATTACATCATTTCTGGAGTAGACGTGTGATATCTGGTTATCGATCAAACGACATGTGTGATCCTCAGGAGATCGTGGCAAAAGTGAAGAATAGACACCACATTCAAATGACCTTGAATCAACCAATCAGATCGTTCAGCATTACAAATAACTGCTTTTCATAATCTTCGTTGCAAGTTTCACCCTAACCTTAAGTCATAAATTTACCTCAATCCTACCGTTAATCTTGAATCAGAGTGGAACTTGCATGAATCAAGAGATTCCAGGTTCGTATCCAGGCAGGCTTGTGAGGCTTTGTGCGTCGGTGGCACAGGGGTTAGGACTCTCGCCGACCATGCACATGGTCCGGGGTCCGATCTCCGGCCGACGCACACCTGATATCTATAGTCGGCCTGCAAAATTTGGGCTACCGATATCACATACTGAAAATTCCATACATTCATCAAAAAATATGTTGTAATAAAAAATAAAAAATAAAAAAATAAAAATAAATCAGGGTGGAACTTGCAACTAAAATTATGAAAAGCATACATTTGTAATGCCGAACGATCTGATTGGCTGATTTCAAGGTCGTTCGACTGTGGTGTCTATTCTTTACTGTTGACCAGTTCGCTTTGTTCTTGTGTATTGTTCTGGGACATTTGTTGTTGAAGTAGAACACTTGAAGATTCTAGCTGTCTTTGACAACAGATGTTTGCATTTGAAGAATCAGTAAGTGAGGATTATTGGTGACGTAAATTAAAATCATTTTCAGTTGCGCGAATGTATCCACTCATTGTGACCTCCCATATCCATCATTATTATTCTCCTGCGTTCCGAGTGGAACATAGGGCTTTGTTCTGTTTCCTGAGGTCCTCTTTAGCTGACCCAACGATTACCCACAGTTTGTCATCTCCTCCATGTCACCATTGGACACGCTCTGGACTCGTCGTTTCTCATTCGCGTTCCACCCGAGCAATGGTCTGGCGCGCGATTTCATTGAACGTTCTCCTCAGTGTGCATCCGATCCATCTCCATTTTGCTTCTACATATTTGTTGGGCAATAGGTTCTTGGTTTTCTACCATCATGAGTATTTTTATGAAGTTTAACAGTTCTGCATTCCACGTTCTATCAGTTCATTTAGTCATTTACTGTGTGAACTGTTATCGCATACAGATAGACTGTGAGGAATTTCCTGACATCGGCGTGACAATAGACAAAATAAGTTATAGAATCTCCGAGGGAAAGTTCAGTTTATACTACAAGTAGTTCAGCTGAAGGTATAAGAATATACAAAAGGAAAAGTGTGTGTGTAGGCAGTAGGATAGTAGGCAAAGTTTAACTTTAAGCACCACTAACTACCAATCAGCAAATGACCTCGAACGCACCAATCACGTGAAGGAGGCATTTTTGTGTATGGATTACACATATATTTATGAAAAAAAATTCATAAAAACTGTAGCAAAGTGTTACAGAGGATACCTTCCTCTCACATGTGATAAAAATAGCTCTCAGTTTTAGGTTGGAGTATCAACAGAGTATAATTCCATTGTGGGTAAAGTTTATTTTGATAAAGTCTCACAGTGTTATACAGTAATATTTACTGAGCAATAAATTGTGCTCGAAACGTGGTCATCAGCAAATATTACTGTATAACACTGTGAGACGTTATCAAAATAAATTTTATCCGCAATGGAATTATACCACAGTGCACAAGTTCTATTCTTATATCAACAGAGTAACTTAACCACATTCTATGCATGTAATTATTTAGGTCTTCCAAACCTAACAATAACCCTTATCTTTCCTAAACCTAACCCTAACGTGAAAATATCCATAAACTAACTGTAATCTAACTCGAACGAACTCTAATATCGCCTCTTATCAGGTTAACCTAACCCTAACTTGTCCTTGGCTTAAAGCATAACTTAATGTTTCCCAAATCTAAGCTGAAACTTGCCTGATATCCCATTTAATACATCACATAACACTTTGATGAGCATATTTTATTGATGATGAGAACATTATTTGCCAGGTTTCACTAACTTGCTCAGTGAACGTGTCAAGGTCATTGGTGCGGTCGCACTCCATTGGTAGTTACTGGTGCTTAAAGTTTAACTTGGTCAGATAGTAGTTGTCATTTCCTTGTTTCATTAATGAAACTATAGTATTCCTAACTGACTGAGTTTCAGCTTAGAACTCCACGCAGAAATGCACTAGTTGAACTTATCTTACTCCGTAGAGCACACAGATTTTATGCAGAAGTATTCAGGAGAGGAAAATAGTAATAGTTAAATGAATCTATGCCATTAAGAACAGTTCTCAGCCATATCACCAGCAGTCTCCAGCCGCTAGTTCTTATCATCCTACTGACTTCAACAAGGCAGTCTACAACTTCTTACGTCGCCGACTGAAACTAACTACCAAAAGCCTCATGGACTGATCCCAGGTTTTAGTTTGACAGCCATTAACTGTTTTCCAACCCAACCCTGTGTCAGATAACATTGCTAGTTGGGCAGGGTGATGACTTGGCATGCGTAATACCTATCCTAACCATCTCAGTGGATGTAGCTTCACAGCCTCATCGATTGACTCCCCCTCATTGCGTCACACTGTACATCTAACTGTACATCAATATTACTCACCATATTATACCACTTAGCACACGAGAAAGGAGGCAAAAGAAATATCTTTGATCAAAGACAACCAGGATTTTCATTTCTCAGAGCCATAACGGAGGACAAAACAAACTTGAGGTCCGTGCACGCGTCATTTGATCGATAGTCGGATGTCATGCCTACATTGGAGACGATGTCATGCCACACGAGATTTTCGTATCCGTGCTGAGATTCCGTTAGCAATCAGTCAATTAAGGTGATGCAACTTCTAAAATATGTGAAGTGGTCAACGCGCTTTACCACTTCATCTCTTTAAGCTAGAAGTCGATGTAGTCCAGTCGTGCAGCATCATCAGCATTCCTTTCACAGTCAAACATTGTCACATTACTATTCAGTCTACAAAGTTGAATGCCCACTTTAGGTCAAGAAATATGGCAAGTTATAGACCTGTGTATGCCTATGTTCCGCAATCCTTCGACAGATTCAGAAGTTTTCCGTACAGGTTAGCTTGCCTAGCGTTATTAAAAGACAGAGTTCATTTAAAAAAATGTGTTTGTGTATTTGCGCAATACATTTGTAAAGTGTGTATATGTTTTAAAAACCTACAGGTAGCGTATTTAAGTATGCCTGAAGGGATATCGATTTGTAAAATTGATCCCTTCGTGTGTGTGTGTGTGTGCGTGTGTGTAATTGATTTACTATTACTTTTGACCTACATTGATAATCCTTATCCGATTATATAACCAAGAGTTATATATATATGGTCAGATCTTTGGGCAGTTGTAGGTAGTTGGCAGTAAGCCCTAGATTGGGAAATAGATTTCATGCTTGTTGGCCTTAGATAGCATTGGTGTATCTGCAGATTTGAAGGAGCTGACGTCCCCTCTGAGACTCGAACCTGCATTACTCAGTGAGACTAATTGTTTTTGAATACTGATGTGCGTCCTTAAAAATCATCATCATCATAATAAGCTGAATATTTAGACAGACAATAAATCAAAGTTCTAACTGATTAAAAAATTGCCATTAAAATTTTGAAAAGAATGGATACTAAACAAAGAATACTCTTTTCGATAACTTCTTCATCAGGCTCTACAGTTATATTTACATTATAGTAGTGAATGAATGAATTAGTGTTATAAAAAACATTAATATTGTTTAAATAACATCAAATCAATAATATTGATAGACTACAGCTGAACAGCATCAACATAAAATAAACTCAATGTCAGAAGAATTAGGAAAGATAATATTACAAATTCATGAATTTACAGTCTCTACTGAAGACCGCCCAGGACAGCAGTAGGGGCTGGACTTGTTTCTTTTGTACACAGAGCACTGGTTATCTGAGGCGAATCGCAATAGCCTCTGCTGTTTGGAGCATGTGGTGCTTCGATGATTTTGGCAATTTATTAGGCACCCGGTAGATTATAGAGAAGGATTCTTCTACGCTGGCTTTGTGACCGGTTTGCATCAGATGGTCCAATATCGAACTGTTAGTGGTTTTAATTACACCTTTACTTAGCCATAGTGGGATATGTTCTTCAACGAGCATGAAAAATTAAGTTCATAGAGCAACGGCCGATATAACTCGCCCCACGAAAAGCGCAGTTGAATTGATAGATACAAGTTGAAGTGGCTAGTCTAGGTACTCCATCTTTCAGTCGAGGTAGCACCATCAGTCGTGTAGAGAATAATGCGTGTAGTTCGCCAGCATTAAAAGTTCTTTGAACTGATTTCCTTAATTTCTTCGTAATTATCTCGCTTGGTATATTGACTATTGACTGACTAAATGGTAGTGTGTTTGATAATTAATTTCAGTTGTTTTAAGAGAGTATCGTCTTCTCTATGGTCTTCTGTATTTTTGGAATCCAAGTTTGAAAAACTGAAATATCTCCAACACTCTACCTGTTTTATCTTCATGAAGAACTTTATGTAAAACATCCTTCATCATTGTAACAGTTATGCATTCATCACTTCTATAGAGAAATCATCGCCGTTGAGGCCCTAGGTGCCACTTTAAATTAAAGAAATGCTTGGAGTGCTAATAACAAGTCAAGGTCCACTATGTGGGGTGTAAGAAAAGATAGTCGTTGATGACTCGCGCTAAAATCCGTGAATTGATAGACGACGTTGGAATTTAGTGGCTGAATAGTCAACGAGCTCGCCTCGTAATTTGATGGTCCTAAGTTTGATGCTTGCTGTGTACTGATGAAGAGTCCCAAAACTAGGACGAAACCGCTGTCCAGTACTCCTTGATGGTGTTCACTGCTTCTGTAATTGATATCAATTCCTGATCTAATTAGCAGCTTGATGCTAGATAACAATGGAAAAAAGTATCATGCTATATACTATCGATTGATAAAAGTACTTGAGAAGCACTCACATCAACCAAATAGTGCTTGACTGCTAGTTAGCCAAATAAAAGTGTTTTGAACACTGGAATGGCCGAATCATCAGTTGAAGGTACCCAAAAGTTCGACTAGGTATGTGGACGAACTAGTAATACGTAGCATCGAAGTTGGTCGTCTGAAAATTATACATATTTCGTAGTGAAAATTCAACACGGTTTCTTTTAGAATCATTGTATAGTGATCCTGAAAACAAGCACAATTGTACAATAGTACATAATACTGACTGATTCGAGTAGATTCGAGTACACTGCTGATGAGCCCAATTAGGAAGAAGCGGGACTCCTATCCAGTGTGTAGATCACATCTATCTGGCTGGAAGGCGGCGTTACTGGTCTATGTCAGTGGTTTCTGACTACTCATATCAACCAAGCAGTAGTATGCAACATCACACATTTATGCTTTCCTTCTTGATTTCCATTTACCATATCAAGTAGGTCACATAAACTATAATGATTTTCTATCAATGAACTGTGTATTGTATATCATTTTCAAATGGTATATTTAATTCATTTTGGAGGAAACGGTGTTACTGTATATAGTATTTTCTTGCCTGAAGAAGCTGATTTGCTTTGGTCTGTATATTTTGTAAAAGTTTTACTTATTTGAATCGAAAGAAGGGTGTAAGTTCTATTCCATACTCGAATTCGATAACTACTGGAACGAAAACTTTCTAAAATTCCACTTAAAATTCGCTCATTCAATTCTCTTCAGACAATCTCACTATCTAGTACTGACTAAAATGAAAGAGTAAAACCTTTTTCCTGCCAAGTATATTCTGAAGGCGTAGTTCACTGGTCCTGGTTACTTATCCTATTCTAGCTACTTCAACTGGGGCGACCGGGTAGTATTGTTAGCCCTGAAGCAAAAATTCTAGCTTACAGCTTAGAACATGAAAGTTCTTTTCCAGTGATTGAGTTCGGTCAAACAAACAGAAAAAAAGGTTTCTTTTCTGGCTATGGAGTTTCTTTATCAGGTTAACAAATTTATTGTTGAACGAAATATTCCCTCTTTATGATATTGAGGGACTTTATATGCGCTGAATCATTGACTATTCGAGATCTGAAACCGGACGTCTACATTCAAAAGCACTACATACATTCACTCGTCCCGCCGTGGCCAGAGTAACGTTCTTAGTTTAATTTCTCCTCTTTCTTAATATGCAGGTTTACCATTATTATTGTAATTATTATTTAATTATCATTATTATTCTCATCATCCTTATTTTATTATCACTCTATTACCACTTATTAATGGCATTCCGTTTTCATACAGATTTTATGTAAAAAAACACTTTGCCGCCTTTCTACTAGTTCCTTTCCATTGTACACAATCTTGTTGATTAGTCATTATACTACACTTATTACGTCTTGCCAACTTCTGCCCCTTTTTCTAACTTCCAATTAGTCGGTTACAGGATTTCATCGTGAACTGATATTGGTTAGAGAACCATCGGAAAACCTTCAGGTAGTACTGAACATATGTTTCATCCTAGTTTGTGGCTCTTCATCAGAAAGCATCAGCCGCGAGGGTTTTGAACAAGGTGAGCTCGTAGACCATTAAGCCACTGGGACCCAATGCAATAACCAATGAACTCCAAGTTTTGCCAATTTACAACATAGCGCGACCGCTAGCCAATGCCTTCGGTGAGTATTTGTCCTCACACCCGACCTGCTGCACCCTACTGGTCACGACTTCCCACTAGAACCCGAGATAACTATCTAGCTCTAACCGATGTTAGCTCATTATGAAATCCTGTAACCAATCAATCAAATCCTTACAAACCAATACTTGAATTCCAATTAGTCGCCCCATCTAGGTTACACCTTATATTATGTAATACATCTTTCGAGGACGAATTTTACCAGTATCTGATTGGTCCAATGATTTCTTTGTTAAATATAATTACGATTGTACAGCAGCTTATGAAAATGAATCGTCAGAAAGAAAATTTTCTTCTCCGTTGACGTCTTTTTCTTATGAATTCATAGTGTTGAGTGTTTTTCAAGTGTTGGTTTGTAGGGATTTGATTGGTTACAGGATTTCATCATGAGCTGACATCAGTTAGAGAACCATCGGGAAACCTGCAGGGAGTACTGGACAGCTGTTTCGTCCTAGTTTGGGACTCTTCAGCAGTACGCACCCACCGGGATTCGAACCCAGGACCTTCTGGTTACAAGGCGAGCTCGTATACCATTAAGCCACTGGGACCCGATGTTTTTATTGTTTAACAAGATCATTGAATTCACTTTATCCTTCTTAATTTCCTAAAATTTCTCTTTTTCTTCGTTATTATTGTTCTACATATTCTACAGGAATATTCAAGACGTATTCACAGGATACTGATTCAGTACACTCGCATGAAACACTTTCATTGAATACACCAACACCTGATATCACTGAAGAGTGTATTCTTGTTGAACAGAATAAACCATTGCCATCTGCTTTAGCTGAATATTATACACCTCCAAAGGAAATGGTATATCCTAATGAATCAGATGATACTTGGAATATATCACCTAAACAACGTAATGTAAGTGTTTTTTTTCATTCATTGATACAGACAAAGTATTACATCTTTTATTATTATTATTAATATTAATATTATTCCTTTGGGTTCTGAGTAGAACATACCGTTTCAGCTGTACATCTCAATTTCAATCTGTTATCTATAGTCGTTTTTTAAAACTGACTTTGTCTACAATTACCTATAAGCTTTCATTTCCATTTCATACTATCTCCTTCAGGTTTCACTTGGGGCCTGGCGCGTAACGTTATTCAGTAATCTGCTCAGCACGTGTCCTATTCACCTTCATTTCCTTCTGAATATTTGTTAAGCGATTGGTTGTGCGTTGGTTCGTCGTCACAGTTGTTTGTAACTTATGTTTTCTGACCCACGAGCTGATCTTCAGCATGGAGCCAGTGAAGACAGCTGTTGATAAAATTCTACAGTATCTTGTTGGAAATGCTTTTGATGACATTGGTGCTGCTAAATCGCTGAATCATGTAGATCTACTTACTTGACACAGATTTTGAAAATTTGGATATTGTTCCTTGTACTTAGGGTTGTAGATCTCCGCATTGATTTCCACTATCCTGTCTGGCTTCGACATCCTCAACTATACTGTCTGCCTGTAACTGAAACAATTCTGCCTGGGTCTGGTAAGAAGAAGAGACGACTTTCTTTATATTTCTCCTGTTGATGGTGATTGGTGTTTTTTAGATATCTCCACCAATTCTGCCTTCTCCATGTTCACTTGGAGTTCTGTCTTCGTTGCCTCTTCTGTCAACTTGTCGGTTTCTGACCATATATCATCCAATTGGGCGCATAACATCACTCAACGACCCGCTGAGAGTGTGTCCGATCTATCACCATTTATTATTATTATTCCCTTGCGTTCCGAGTGGAACATAGGGCTTCAACAACAGGTCTCCACTTTGTTCTGTTTTCTGCCATCCTGACAACCCACTCGTCGCTTCCCATTTGGATTCCACTCAAGGGCCTGGCGTGCGATGTCATTCGGCTGCCTCCTCAATGTATGCTGGATCCATCGGCTGTTGGTTGGCTTGTTCCAATAGTTTCTTGTGGCTTATTCTTTCTCGCCATTTGATTTTCAGTATGGGGACAAGGCAGCTGTTGATGTTAGTCTGCAGTAGCCTGTTGAAAATCCTTTTCGTGACACGCAGTGCAAGTTTCTGAACCGTATAGAAGAACTGATTTTACATTGGCGTTGAAAATGAAAATCTTATTCCTTATGCCTGAGTGTAGAAACTAGTTTGAGGTTGATGAAGGCGTATCTTGGCTTTCCGATTCTAACTTTGACATCTTCCTTCGTTCCGAATTCCTGTAGTTGAAACGATGCTTCCTAGATAAGTGGAGGCGACCCGTGTTAAATCTCTCCCGTTGATAGTGATTGGTGCTGGTTAATGTTGTTGATGCTGTTGGTTGGTTGGTTATCTTCATCACCTCCGTCTTCTCCATGTTCACTTGAAGTCCTGTTCTCTCTGCCTTTCGCTTGCAAGTCTTCGAGTTTGTGTGACATTAGACATATATCATCTGCGAAATCGAGATCACCATTTTATTTCTACCTAACTGTTGGGCGAGAGTTTCGCTACGAGAGTTTGTTGTTGCTGATTGTTTCTGACCCACCATCTGGTGTTCAGTATGGAGCGAACGAAGATGTTGATAAAAGTCTGCAATATCATGTTGAAAATGCTTCTAATGACGTTAGTGCTAAGTCCCTTAACTATACGGAAGCACTGATTTGACATTGATGCTGAATATCCTTATGCTGAGTGCAGCATATATTTTCACACTGATTTCACAGTAATGAAGGTCTATCTTGCTTTTTTAATCCTAACTGGTTTTGACATCCTTATTTCTGCTGTCGCGTGTAATTGAAACGAAGGTGCCTAGATATGTGAAAGTAATAACGTCCTTCAGATTTCTCGCGTTGATGGTGTGTGGTGCTGTTTATTATTTGTTTGGCTAGGTATCTCTATCACCTCTTCCTTCTCTATGTGCATCACCTGAAATCGTGCCTTCACTGCCCCTTTCTGCCACTGTCTGTTTATAGTCTTGCTATATTGCTATCGTCATATGTTATGTACGGGGGAAGTTATCTGTAGCTTGACATGTGGAGTCTTTAAGGTGAAATTCAATAACCTTACCAAGAGTGTTTACTAGAGTATATGTGTGGTTGTCATCTTCTGGCACATATGTACACACTCCTAGTCGTGAAGTGAAGACATATCGTCACAATGCTTTTTGATCCTCTCTCATCTTACCATGGTTCATTAAGCCACATTCTGAAATACCAATCATTAGTCTCTACAACAAGTGTTAGACAGCTGTCACCTGAGAAATGCATGATCAACTGCAGGTCTTCATAACCTCCTGGCTTATCCTTTTATACACTAGACTATTTCTGTTTGTGCGTCAGGCATACTTATTTTACTAGTGAGGACGGGGGATTTTGATGCAAGTATCTAACTTAGTCAGTGCGCCTACGGGATTCAACTCGTTAGTAATACTTTGGTGAGAGCTGTCTGCTAGCCAAAATTGGTAGGCAACAATTTACGTCAATGTTACGTCCCAAATCTTGGTCATGAATAAAGACAACAACAACAAAGGCTAACTCAACAACCAATCACAGCAGACTTAGCGTGGGCGGATACGATTCGCAGATATGTGGTCTGACCTTCAAAGAAATGGCCACAAAGAGATGACAGAATAACTTCCAGCGAGAAAACTACCAATCAGAAGACGCTGTTTCTCTGCTAATAATAACAAATAATAATGTACATAAAAATATATAAATATCTCTTGATTTCCCCAATAAACGATCTGTTGCCTGGCCCTTGTCTTCTGTCGTTACAATACTACTAGCCCTCAAATATTAAGTCAGCCTCAAAGCCGGGCGACTGACTTTTAACTAACTAACTAACTAACTAATTTGTACGAGAATCAACCAGGCTGAAGTCGGTAGTAGAAGATCTCGATTCAAATGTTTCAAGTACTTTTTCTAGTGAGACGGAAGTTCTGTCTTAATGACGATTTATCTAGCTGGCATTTTGTGTTTTGAATCTATAATATCGTTAATCCCTACTTCAATTCTGTTTTTTAATTTTTCACTTTTTTATAGGATAGTGTAATATCCAATTTCGGAAGGTAAGTGTATGATATATGGTTTTATTAATGTATGATTCATCATTATTAAAAAAACCTCATTTGATTACTACTCATTAGAAGCGAGCTTTAAATACTGTGATAATTTACTACTTCTTCCTAAAGACTATCTGTAGTCACTGAATGAATTTTCAAGCGAACGAGTTCATCGTCTGACGATGGGATCAAATCTTTTCTTTGTTAGATCGAGTTTTCAAACTGGAGTTGCCTGATCTTATTACCTTAGTCACAAAATTTAAAACCTTATGATAACGCTTCTAACTGGAGAAATTATGGACATACTGATAAGACTATCTGAAGGGAAATTCTTTCAGGATTTTGATTTTCTAAAGATTTGATTAGTTTCATTCACCCTTTCTCCGTTATGTTTTGACTGACTTGGTCGACATAATCAACAAAATATATGAGGAAGTTCATCAACTGCGAATTTCTGTCGACGACATTGGTTGGTGTCGCGCTAAATCACAAATTGGTAGAAGTTAGAATTGAATCGTGTCCCAGTGGCTGAATGGTAAACGAGCTTGCTTTGTAGACGGAAGGTCCTGGTTTCGAACCCTGGAAGTAGGTGCGTATTATTATTATTGTTTCTTTAATTCCTAGAGGGACATAGGGCTTCAGCCGTGCGTCTCCATTGCGTTTGGTTCTCTGCCAACGTTTTCACCTGGCTCCAAGTCTACCCACACGTTTTCATCTTCTCTTCATATGACCTCCTCCAAGTCACCCTTGGACGACCAACTCACCGCTTCCCTTTCGGGTTCCACTCGAGCAATGGCTTGTCTAGTGATGTCACTTGATGGCTTCCTCAGAGTATGGCCAATCCATCTCCATTTCTTCCTGCCAATTTGTTTCACAATCGGTTCCTGGTTGGTTCGCTCCCAGAGATCTTTGTTTCTGACCTTTTCTGGAAGTAGGTGTGTACTGCCGATGATTCCCAAACTAGGATCTAGGAAACAGCTGTCCAGTGCTCCCTGTGGCTGGCTGTCCAATGGTTCTCTAACTGATATCAATCCGTGATCAACTCGTAAAAACAAAACTAATCCTTACAAACCAACTATAGAAAATCTTTTTATATCCAAAATATAAATTTTTAGTGAATACTATTGGTTAAGTGTAAGTCGTTCCAGTGATGGGAAATTCGTATACATATTTCATTATGACGAAGAGATTTCTAGTAAATTTTACGTTATTGATCATTATGGTAAACAGTCATTTATAAAATTCAAACATTTCTTTGGCTTCTGTACTTCAGGTACCTATTGAGTGCCTTTAATGCAGTGAGATCTCCAAACGCGTGATTTAAAATCTCTAAATATTTCCATTGGTTATTATTAGAACAAGACTTATCTAAGCAAACAATACTGCTTTGTTTTCAATTAGATCTTCAGGCTTTACTCTAATGTGCACATATGTAAAGTAATATTGTTGCATACACAGTAAAAAAACCGAATCAGCAGATTTCTCCTTCATTGCATAGTGCTCAATTTGAAAGGCAAATTAAATGTGGGTGCGAGTCCATATAGTGATCATTCACAATAATTGCTGGTTTAAAACAATAAGGAATGCAGGTTTTAGGCATTTTGATCGATTGGAAATTCTGGTAGCCCAATAGTTTAAGCAGTGCCGCCAACAATTATGCATCTCATCCAACAGTTGTAAAACAATGCTGCATGCCAATTAATTCACAACGGGAAGCTCGCAGAAATCTTTGAAGTGAAGACGGGAGCAAGACAAGCTGGCTGGCTGCCTACTATCTTCAATGATTTTCCTTATTGCGGTAGGCTGGATAATGTGACAGACGGCGGCGGGCAGCGAGGAGATGGGCATAAAATGGACACACACAAAAACTTGGAGGATCTGGACTTCGCCGATGATTTATGTCTGATCTTTCACAAACTGGAAGATATGCAAGTGAAAAAAAAACAAGTTGGCCGAAGAAGCATCCGGAGAAAATAGGTCTTCAGGTGAACATAGAGAAAGCAGAGGTGATGAAGATTCCTGGCCAACAGCAACAGCAACAACAGCAGACAACAACAATCATCATAAATGGAAGGAATATGAAAGAAGCAACCTCCTTTACCTACCTACACACTTGGGAAGTATGGTTTCAACTACAGGTGGATGGAACTGATGAGGATATCAAAGTGAGAATCGGAAAAGCAAGGCAAGCTTTCACTAATCTCAAGTCTGTGTGGAGGTCAACAGCACTCAGCATCAAAAATGAAATCCGGATTTTCAACTCCAATGTGAATTCAGTGCTACTATACGGATCAGAGACTTGCACTGCGCGTCATAAAGAGCATCTCGAACAAACTACAGACCTTCATCAACAGCTGTCTTCGCTCAATACTCAAGATCAGATGGCCTGTCAGAAAAGATCAGCAACAGGGATCTCTGGGAGCGAACCAACGCAGCAGGAGCCGATTGTGCAACAAATAGGCAGGAAGAAATGGAGATGGAGTGATTGGCCATACTCTGAGGAAACCATCAAGTGACATTACTAGATAAGCCATTGCTCGAGTGGAACCCGAAAGGGAAGCGGCGAGTTGGTCGTCAGTGCAAGGGTGACTTGGAGGAGGTCATGTGAAGAGGAGATGAAAACGTGTGGGCAGACTTGGAGCCAGGTGAAAACTCTAGCAGAGAACCGAACGCAATGGAGACGTGCGGCTGAAGCCCTATGTTCCTCTAGGAACTAAAGGAAACAATAATAATAATAGTTTAAGCAAGCAGCCGCTAGGTGTTTTGAACGTCAGTACTGACGATGATTACAATGATAGCAAAAATAATGATAATAAATCCAATGATAACAAAAGTACAAGAAGTTGGCACAGGAGGCGACAAGAATAACGAAGGTAGTATGTTTATGTAAACGACTCAATAAATAAATTACGTTAAATCTTTAAAGTTACATAATATCGAAGATGAAGTGGATAGATAATCAGAGTTTAAATAAATATCATAAAAGTACGAAAGAAATAAAGAATATGAAAGGGTGGGAGGGTTTTAATTAGAATCTACCTAGGCCAAGGGAGAGATAAAGGTAGAACAAACTTCTTTTGTTGTATACAAAAAACTAGGATTATTCTCTCAAATTAATTCCCATAGCTTTGACTATATGTGTAAAAGGCGAGCTCATATTTGCATTCTAAAATTTCAATGGAATGCAACAGATAACTTTAAGGACACTGCTTTTGTCTACTTGGTGACCGCTATCAATGAAATTTCTCACTTTATGATATTTATTCAAACTCTCTTCCCTTCACCTTTAGTACTGTGTAACTTTTAAGATTTGACCTAATTTATTAATTTGTTTATTAGATATATCCCACACAGTGAAACAGTATTAGTATTATTACTGTTCGTATTCATATCAATTATAATCAGACGACTTCGAAACTTGAGCTTTATAGTTTTCCTTATTCTTTCCTATTTGTCGTTTGGTTAGTAGAATTCTCCAGATATCTGGGACAGGTGATGAATCATTCCTATTACACGTATTTGCAGATGATTCGATAAACAAAGCTTCCGTTATCAATCTTTCCCTCCACCCTGTGACATTAGATTTTAAAACTGTCATCTTATCCCATCCTACTGTATGGTTGTGTGTAATTGCATGTGGTGAGTGCTATAGCTGAACTATTCTCTAGATTTCTTATCTTATTCGGGTCAACTAATCTAGATTTTTGCTAGGTTTTTATGCTCGGCTAGTCTGATTGCACCTGTTCTACTACTTTGACCTATGTATTTGACCTGATAATCATTCCAGCAGGGTATTAGATGAACTAAATTGTTTTGTTTTAAAGGCTCCACAGGATCCTTTAACCGACAAAGCTTGTTTCTAATTGAGTTTGTGGGTGGTTTGAATGCCAGCTACTTTTATTCCTGCACTGCCTGTTAAGGATCCTCCTTAAGGTTTCTTAGGTTTCTTCTTCGTATGAAAATACTACTAACTAATGATTTATATTTCCTATTGTTCACCTAATTTATTTATTGAATTGCAAAGATTATTCATACTACCGTCATTATTCTTATCACCACATGCATAAACTTCGTGTGCTGCACATCTGTGCAAAGTTCTACGTTGAACCCAGTCAGTCAGTCAGTCATTCTTTTCTCCACCTGCATAAACTCCTTGTACTTTTGTTAACATTGACCTTATTATAATTATTTTTGCTATCATTATAATCATCGTTATTACTGATATATTCAAAACAGTTACCAACTTTTTTTTTTGATTAAATAATTCACATTCCTTGGTTAAAGATATTTATATATATAAAGATAAATGTACATTAGAGTAAAGTCTGAAGGAGATCTAATTGAAAACAAAGCAGTAATGTTCGCTCGCATAGATATGTCTTGTTTTTGATGCATACCCAGGCATATAATGACATTACAAATTCGTATAAGGTATCCAGTGTAGTTAGACGGAGAGAGAAGGAGATTATTCTCTGAATTTTTACCCATCGCATGAATACTAACTCTGGACATTTACGGGAACGATTCGACGTACGTTTCAGATATTGAGAATATTTTACGTACGTTGAATGTAAGTGTAGTGACAAGGCAGTTATGGCATTATTTCAATGTGATGATGAGCAATAAACTGTGTTCTCGACACGGCGTTTCATCCTATTTTGGATGTGTTACGTATGCCTAGTCATCGCCTTCTTCGACAATGGGCAATGTTAGCTGATATAGGGTCAGGCTGGAAAAGAGCTAGTGGTGGTCAAACCAAAACATGGCATCAGTCAATGAAATCCACAACAGTTAGTCTAAGCCACGTAGGAAGGTGTAGACTTCCTGACTGGTTGGGGTCCTCGGGACGGTAAAAACCAGTGGTTGGAAACAATTGGTGACATGGCTCAAACTCATCGTTCTCAATGGCGCAGATGCATCCACTCCGTGTGACTCATGATTTCTTCGTTATTACTATTCCTTTGTCTCACACCTCTGTTTACTGTCTATATTATGCATTTCTTCTA